GTAATGAAGTTTTATTTGGGTGTTTTCACTTTTATTCTCTGGTTTCAAAATAAAAAAGTAGACTTTGCTTTCAATTAAATATGGCTGACTCGTGAATAGGGTCAATCATATGCAGCCACATTATGGCTGCCCTGAAGCAGCTTGTGCCATTTTCAGATTGTCACTGAAAAAAACCAGACTCGTCTCCTGATGAGAGTACTTCAGCATGCCCTGGATGAGCCTAGAGTCACTGGGGTCTGCTCAAACGGTTCTGCTACACGTTAGCGCATCAAAGTATCCAAATGGTGACTGGGGTCAACTTCATGGACCTACTAAGCACAGCAATCACTTGCTTGGCAAAACGGGGTACCAGCCAAATACTGCCTAGGACTGTTTTTCTGCTATTCTTTCTCTGCTAAGCAAATAAACTTGCTAATTGGGTTTTTTCCAGGTCAACAGCTCTACCGAATTGAGTCCAGCAGAAAACAAGTCATAATTTGCATTCAGGGAAACAGCCACAGTGACATACTGGAGACTTCAAAATCGACACCTACCTCACTAGCGGCACCAGCACGTCACTGAACTGCTTCTCCAACAAGTGGAAGATGGCGTTGGCCTCGCCGGCGATATTGAAGAAGTACGTCTGTGGGGGGTTCTTGGGTTCCGAGGTGGGGATGCCCTGCAGACCGATCTCCAGGGCGTATTCGATGTGTTCGGTGCACAGGTACTCAATCAGGATGTCGAATATGGTGATGGCATGGGCGGAAAGATCCGACTGGCTGGACAGCTATGCATACAAACCAATTACATGTTAAGATGGATGGATTTCTCAAGAGTAGCGAAATGCAGTTGCTTGATATGCCTAGGATAGTTTTGACTGCTTCAAGTGGTGTAGTAAAACTGGCCTCCTGAGGTGGTCCCAGAGCACTCCGTTTCCTGTTGCAAGACTGGCTCTATCCTAGCTTAAACATTTGCCAGTCACAGTTTAATAAAAGGGCTTCTACTTAGCAAGGTGGCAGATAAAGGACTAAAATGATTTCAAAGTGACAGTCCAAGAAGTTTTGTACCACAAACACGTTCCAAACTTGAATCTGTCTCAAGCCATCAGTACTGGCAATGTGGGTTGTCAGGGACCATTTTGAGTTTGGAAAAGTGGGTTTTTCTTGGGATAGGAGAATTGGGACTGACCAGCTGACATCTGCTGAACGCCTGCTTGGATTCATTGAGCAGGTTGAGAGCAATCTCCTGCGACAGGAAGGTCTCCCCCTTGAAGTCCACCTGGGGTCCCGACGAGCCGATGTTCAGCGGCGTCTTCGTGCGGAGTTTGTGCTGCAGGTCATGCAAGCTAGGAAAAAAAAAAGGACAAGAGTTAAATTTGTGCGACAACTGAACAAGATCCTCATCATCTAATTAGTGAAGTGACGATCACATGACATGAATTATTCTACCCAATGCGTAGCTCGCGCACACGCTGAAACAACAGCGCCCCGGAACCATGCAGGGGGCATGGGGCTTTTTGGTCAATGAAAAAATGTGTGCAAGGGCTACGCACGGTCATTCTGAACATGGTGTAGAAACCCTTTTTATGTACACACTGAAAAAAAGTGGCCAGGAAATGCCTCAGATTGCACCACAGAAGTGGTCAACTGCATAATCCAGCCATCCATCATTTGAGTGACGCTGGTCAAACTACAGACCAGCTTTCAATCAGTGACAATTTGCCAACGGCTGGTAATCTTCCCCGGTAACCTATGCACAGAATATACTCAGGGCGCCAGGCAAAATAGAGCCACGATTAGATAATTGTTGCTGATCAAACTTGGCCACACTTAACCACAGTTCTCGCTCTAACCTGTCCCATGCTTTACAGTAACAAAGCGCTCTCTCTCCCAAGTACAAAGCCTCTAGCCCTTACCCTCCCGTAGGCTGTATGGGTTTCTTCTGGTGGTTCATGCTCCGGTAGTAGTTATCCAGGTTTTCCGACATCCGCTCTCGCAGGTGCATCTCCTCCCGGGCAATGTAGCTCTGCAGGTAGTTGCCGAAGATGTGCTTGGTCAGCCGGCTGAGCAAGTGGGCGTCCGAGCCCAGTCGATAGTCTGACAGGGCAGCGGTCAGCCGGCCCGTCCGGGCGTACAGGTCATGCAGGTCCTTCAGGTAGTGCTCCAAGTCCTCCTGGGGGGTCAGTCTCTCCTTAACATGTTCCTGGAATGAAAGAAAATGGGGGGGGGAACTTTTTCACACAACCGTTATCAACCTCCCCACCCCCAAAAAAAGATGGAGAATTCAGTGGCTCCAGATTCTGAATCTAAACTCATTCTTGATCTAAATTTATCCCCCCCTTGAGCAAGTTATTCTCTCTCTAGGGAAACAGTAACTGCAGCAAGATATCAAGTTGCAAAAGCAAACAAAAAATGTGGTGGCGGCCCATCTACACTTTCATACTGAAACAAAACTCGTTACAAAACTACCCCTTTGAAATTCAGTGAAAAATTTGTGACCTGTCACCACAAAATGAGCCGAAAATCAGAGTTTTTAAAAACTGAGATACTGGTATTTTTGAATTCAGCATAAAGAGAGCTTTGCAATGGCTTGCACATGGAACACTCTGGGTAAGAGTATAAGGTGACAATGTGACATTATTCTGGCAGCTTTGCGTCTTTGTTCCCAACATTGTTTCAACATTTCAGACCAGGCACAAATAATGCTATTGTCTGCTGAGAAAATGACATTTTTAAATATGTGAATCTGCAAAATACTTGGAATCAAATAGGATACGGGTTACTTTTTCCAAATATTACCAAAACCCAAAATTTACCTCCACTTCAACATAACTTTGAACACTCAAATAGAAAAGAGTGGCAAGCAACTTTACGCTCATTTTGTCGTGACAGTTCACATATGTTAATCAGGGCAATGTGATGAAACCCAATGCAGGTGAGACGGCCCATTGGCTCTGTAATGCAGCAACTGAGTGCACTGTGCAGCCCATTGACGACAGCAACTTGAGGGTAATTCTAAATGACAGCAGATGTATGTTGAACAACTGCGCCAGCTCATAACCAAATGTTTGCACACACGGGTGCTAAAGAAAACAAGGTTCCCCTTAATTGCTTGGGGAATTCCAAATTTCCACCAACAGAGGGCCCACAGATGCCCAAACCCATTAGGCTTTCAGGACTTACCTGAAGCTTGACCTCGTACAGGTTGAGAACAAACTTTCCCATGACACTCTCTGGACTGCTGAAGACTTGATGAACCAAGTTATTAACCTGCAATAACAACCCATGACCGCAGCTCCAACTTTACTCACATTGAAGGAAGAATGCCTAAGACAATGACAACCCCCCCCAGCAAAACATTTCAGTGCAAACCGATTTTGATCAAAGTTACCTTCTGTTCACAAAATTGTTTCTCCGTAAAGACTGTTGAAGGTTATTCACTGCCAAACTTATACTAACAATTGTCACGGGCATAAGAGTATATTTAACCCACAGCAAGTTATTACCAGTTTTGAATTCATTTCCTGGAAATGCTGAAAATGATACAAATTAAAGAAATGATCCAAGAGATAGACTTTGCTAAAAGTCAACATCTCCTAAAAATCCTACTTTTCTGTTACCTTTTTGCAAAGTGGGATCAAGTCTTCATATACATCGAAGAAAATGTGGGTATTCTGGAAAAAAATAAAGGTTCAAAAGTTTAATAAAATTCTGCTGCCCAGTAATATACGGCTAATAACAGTAGTCAAAACTTAATATTAAGCTGACCTTGTAACAAAACATTCAAATTTTTCTTTTTACGTTGAGCAATATTAATGGATTAGTGAAGAAATTTGCCCATAATAAGAATTCAGAGCGGCAGGATTCTGCTTGTCAACTTATCAATGAATACAAATGCATCAATTGAAAACCCAAAATGGTTTGAAACAAAAGCTGAAAAAGACTACTTGCTCCTGCAGGCGAAATTGTAAATGACAAAACTTTTTTTCCTTACCGCTTGGCTTTCTTCAATGAATGCATCAATGCACCGGTGATACCCCTGCAAATGGCATTGAAAACACAGACCTTCAAATAATTAGCAGGTCAATCTAGAAGGGAAATGCAAGGCACTGATATTAACAGTGGGAAATGTACGGTAAAACAGGCCTCTCGTAGTTTAACACCGGGAGGACATTTGCTCATCTTGTAACAAAAAAAACCCAAAGTTAATGCTTTATTTCTTAGGTAAAGATTCTATTAAAGATTACTGAACCAAAATCAATGCAATTGTGACTCATTTCAAAATTAACAATAGCTGTTGAATCATACATTTCCAAGTGTGAGCTAGTGTGAGTAAAGAATATGCCAAATGCAGGACTGCACATTGAGTGTGCACAAACATAGAACTCTAGTTGCTTTCAACTAATATGGTACGGTGCTTTCACCACTTCCAGCCGGGGCAGTTATCAATATTGATGATGCTGGGTCGGAATATTTTTCATTTTTTTCTGTTTTCAAAATTCTTTAAAAATTCCTATCTTCATCCACATGAAGGACTGTCTGGTGTCCAGTCTAGCCTGACAGACAAAATCTATTGATGCCTGACTATTTCAGCTAGGCCTGCAGCCTTGTAAAAAGAGCCCAGATTGTGCGGTGATACATATTTTTCTTTTGTTCACGAACCTGGCTCAGTGTGCTGCTGACCTCTTTTCAATAGGGGCCCAATTAGAGTGCAGCGGTGCTGTGTGGCTCATCGCTGCGGTGGTGGAGAGCTTTTGTCCCCGGTGGTAATCTGCTCACTCTAAATGCCCCAAACCGTGGTATACTGTTTCAAAATAAGGCTGGATTATCTCCACTTTTGAGAGTGAAAAAATGTCAGTGATTCCCAGCAGCCTGGTCTTTTGTTCGGAGTACGGTCTTTTGTTACAAGTCCATGTTCCCTTTGTCCGAGTTCGGAGACCCCGGCCACGCATATAAAGCATACGCATCCGGATCCAGAATCCCCGGCAGGAAGTGGTTAATTGTAACTCAGGTAGTGCATTTACGGTGGAATATACTGTATTCACAAAAATAGTAAGTCAACAGAGGGACAGAATTTGTTGTTGAAGTATGAAAATCTGAAACAATTAGAGTGAAGAAAGCTATCACCAGCAGATTTCACCGTGTCAAAATCAGGCTGGGGCTACAGCTTTTGTGCCATGTGGACAGTCCGCTAGGACTAGCCACAGCCACTGAACAGCCCCTGATGTGGATATGGCTTTACCTTGAAGTGTGCCAGTATGCTGGCTAACTCTTTCATCCTGTCCACACTGCCCTCATGGAAGGACGCTCTGAACTCAGTGATCAGGTCTTCCTCAATCTGATTGTACTTATCTGCGGTCACAAACACAAAATGCTCAATCCAGTCTCGTGTCAGAGTTTCCCCATAACTGTAACAGTTTGTCATGAATGTTCTACTGAATCAGCAACTGATGTTATGATGGAAGCTCTTTCAATTAAAAATTAGACTTCATAAAGATATCCCAATCTCCATCTCTGTCAAATTAATTTGAAAGATGGCAGTTCTCAGCTTTAAATAGGTTAATAAAAGCTCCTGAGTGTGCTTACCCTGTATTCTTTGCTTCGGCTTTTCGAATCTGTTTACAGAGGCAAGCAAAATGAGCAAGGTTAGAGTTTATTTGGTCACAAAAACATTTTCAAAAATCACTGTTTCATTTTTTTATGATTTTTCCAATCTGCAAGGTGGAAATCTTTAGATAGCTCAGGTGGGGACAGCAGGAGGCAATAGGCTCTATGTTGGAATTATATATCTCATGTTTTTTTGCACAATCCTCAAGGGTCAACATACATGGCCACCTATGTGAAATAGGCCTAGGAGCCAAGCTAAATGACTGCCCATCGGCAGTATTGTACGACGAGACCGTCACAAGACCATTCACAAGTAACAGGGTGGACAATGACCTGAAGGAATGCTTTGTTGCAGTTATTTGAATAGCTAGTGACTTGAAATTGGACTGGAGGTCTTGTGATGGTCGCGTAGGGTCGATTCAAAGGGTATCAACAACAACATTCCCCACCACCCCTGGGGAAGGGATAGCTGTGTACAGAGCAGGAAGGAGCAGGAAATGGGAGCAGAAAATGGGAGCAGGAATGGGGACTTTGTAGTTTTCCAATGCCAAGGGACAACAGTCAAACAAGTGTACAGGTTTCAGAAATGAATGGAGACTGGAGACTCACTGTTCCTGAGGAAGCTCTTGTGCAATCAGCTGCAATTTCTGAATGATGTCTGCTGCGTCTTGTAGCTGCAGAAATGAGGCAAACAGAAAGGAAGACTGAGCAAACAGTACCTTCCAGCAATCTTCCTATCACTTCCATTGAATTAACCCAAAAAGAGTCGTGGGGGACGGTCAAAATCTGCCCCCTCGACATTTGTAGCCGATATCGCTGCAGTGCTTTTTTTTCAGGAGTTGAGCATTTAGGAGTTTTTAGAGCAACTTTTTGCGGTCATTTTGACTGCTTCATGTGTAGTTTGTCTGTACATATGTGAGTATACCTGGAATGGATCGTTGAAGACCTCAGCTTTGGGTCCGAAGTCATCCAGGAACTCTGAGAAGTACTCAATGAGCCTCTTGGCCTCTTCGGCTCGGGCCCGTGGGGTGTTAACCCCTTCCAGTTGGTCCCCAAGATGCACCACCTTGGTAGCTACATTGTTGATGTGTTCATCTAGCTCTTGGAAATGTAAGAAGGCCATCTATTTGAAGGGCAATGACAATACTGAATCATTAAACAAATGAATGGACTGGTTGCGGCACAAGGCATACATGTTTGAAAGCTTGCTTAGCCAGAACTTGACACTGGGGTATCTTGCAGGGACTCAAACGTGGCTTCTTCTCAGTGGTGAAAATCATCAGACTTGGTACATAAGGTTGCAATCCTGAAACCGCGTTGAAAATACTATAAGAAGAGAGGAACCACAGCACATGTACGTAAAAAAATGACAAGACTGCGAGGCAAATTGCGATGAGGAGAGGAGGGGTGAGCAGAGAGCAATATCGGTTGAAAGCAGCGATGTCAGCAGAGCCTGGTTTCCATATTGATGTAAAGAGATGCAGAGAACACCGCTGATCAGAGCCCTGACGATAAGCAATGGAGTGGGGGCCAAAATCGTTGAGGGACCGACAATTTTTTATTTTTTTAAATGCAAGCATTAAGACCCTTCTAAGGGTTGAGATTAAATTGTTTTCATGTTTTTTGGAAGGAAGGAAAAGGAAACAGACCCCAAACAAAGCCTTTCTCTCTTGATTTTGAAAAAAAAATTGCCGTCTTTTTGGGGTGTGGCCATGGTCCCCACTGGCCTCCCTTTGGATCCACCCTTGGGGGCGGAAAGACTACACCCATGGAAATGAGATTAGGGCAGCGGTCGGGGTTGGGGCCGCGACATGACCTTGTTGTGCTCCTGTAGCTGGGCCACCCTCTTGGCGTGGTTCTTGGTCTCTGAGCGGATGCTGGCCTCCAGCTTCCCCGTCCGCTCCTCCATCCGCATACTGAGGAGCTTCAGCTCCTCGATGGTGTTCTCAAACGCCCGCAGCATCTTCTTGGCATCAAAGTCCTGGGGCCCCTCCTTGGAGTCGCCGCCTTGGGTGCGCCAAGCCAGCTGCTCGATGTACTGCTCCGGGTCAAAGGTCGCATTCTGCAAAATATTGAAAGTACCTAGACTACCAGTATCTATTATGTACGTGATGCCATTGTGAGTAAATGCTTCAGTACCAAAGAAATACTTTTGTTTCAGACTTGAATAAAATCCGTGTTTGCACACATATACATGCAATATTATTGAAGATGACAAAGTATTGGCACTTATAAGACCAGAACCTTAAACAGTTAAATACATTATTAACATCCTTGGATTTTAGCATGACGGCTCCTACAAGTCTTCCAAGTTCAATTAGGGAAATATTAACCTTTTTCTACATTCTCAATGCACCACAGGATTGGATAACAAGTCAAATCATACCTTTTATGCATGAACTTTAATTGGGACATGAACCTGCCACAAAACGTTTGTAATTTTCTTCAGAACATTTCTAATAGATGTACGTGTTTACCTACTCATCATGTCAGAGATGGATGCAAAGTGAACAAAAAACATCTTTAAAATAACAAATGAATTTTCAAAAGTGTGTAAGAAGGCAAAAATGCCCTTAAATGTCTTGTCTTTAAAGGACACCAGTAGCTGAAAAATGAATTAAAGGGGGTTGAATGATCTTCAAGTCCTGATTCTCATTGGCCAATACTACATGTAACTCACTAACATTTATGATCTCAGTCTAAGACAGAAACTGGATTTCCAAGATTTTCTTTTTCTTCTGAGCTTTTAATTTTCTTTCAAATCTCTTCGTCCCAAATCTACAATGCAACACGACTCCGACTGTTATGATGGTGCAAAAAGATAACATGTAATTTTTCATAATAAACTTGGCAACTCGAATATACTGGTAGCCTATGTCGGGGCCCAAGTGGACAAGGATCAATGGCTGCATCCGAATCTCTTGTCTAGAGCTAGGTCTAGGTCATTGCTCCATTGGAAATGTGTGGAGACGCGTAGACAATAGACCTAGCCGTAGCTCTGGAAGCCCGTTTCGGACACGGCTAATGTTTGGCAGGTACACTTCTTCAACAGGATTGTGCATAAATAAAAATGCCTTGCTTGACATCCAATCCCATGATGCATTCCAAATGTCAAAAAGATTTTCCCATACATTACAATCGCTAATTTTTGTCTGTGCAGAGAACCAGTTTACTTGTGCATATGACTCCACGTCAGCTATGTCAGCAGTACATCTTAAACTGTTGGTAGACCCCTGTTCAACAAGCCGGTAGGCCTATGCCATATTGTAAATTTGGAGACTCTATTCCTAAAATAGAAGGGAGAGCTGCATTTTAACTTTTGAATTCACCTTGGTAAATGACTGCGACATCATGCTCAATAACTGTAGGGTTAATGTTGTCAAACAAAGGCAGAGTTTTGAGTTTTGAGGGAAATTACACGGGATACTGTGGGTGTTTTAACATGACACATGGTGGATTCAAATTGGCTTGACTGGGATCACTGCAGCGAGAAAGTCACATTTTCTCACAATTTACAAATTGAAATTTCCAAAAAATAGGGTCGGCACAATAAAGAGAGTGTTGTCTCTGTTTTTTTGGGGGGACTTACAAGTTTTGCAACATTAAAATGACCAAAAAAATGGGGGGTCAGGTCTCCAAGTAGGCGCATACAATCCCCAGCCTATGTCAGCAAGAAAAAACTTGCCCTAGCCTACCAACTATGCCTACAGTAGGATAAAAAGTAAAATTAATGAAGCGTTTATTTAAGAAACATTCAGAAATTTTCAGAACAGCCTCGTGCATGACTTGTTTCCCCATTGTTAATGTTTGGTAAGTCATTGCTTTATCACGAAACGAATGCAACATTGTCATCGACCAAGTCCATGATATGACATGACATGAGTTCATCGTGCAAACACGGCAAACGCCCATCAGCACTTCCTACCTCAAATTCCTTGAGCGACATTTTAACCAGAATTTACGGTATCAAATTAGTCACGCAGATCAGAAATTCGATGAGCTAAGGGTCATTCTAACGACACTATCGGATCGTCATCAAGCGTCCGCCCTTGCAGCTTCTTCCGCGGCAGGGCAGATAGCTAACTTTGATCGGCTAGCTCAGGTCATTTCATTTCAGCTTTGAGTCCAGTACCGGTACCAAGCAGCTACAATTACAAACCCATGATATGTACTGCACGTACAGTGTACATGTACATGTACACTGTACATGTACGTGCACAGAGCTGTTGTGTGTAGAATCGACTACCCGCAAAGTGATCAAGAAGTACAGTTTAATCGATACCTTTGCATAACGTGGTGAGTAATAAAGATCGCAGACAGCGAGCAGGGGATTCAGAGGTACTTTGGCTGAGGAGTTACACCCCTCCCCGTATTGGACGTCTTTTGCCCCGTCACGTTGTTGGAATTCTAATCTTCATGGACACTGCGGGGAGGGGGACCATCAACATTCTGTTAAGAGAAATTTACGATGCTCATTGATCAACTGCTACTGCGTACCAACGAGGAAAAGTTGCTGATCTGCAAGTCCTTATAAAGGTGCATTAACCAGATATTATTTTTGGTACAGGGTCGTGGCTAAGTTCAACCGTTGAGAGTAGTGAAATACTGTATTCCCATTTAACTTCAAATTTAGAAATTTGTAAGTCTTTAGAAAGGATATAGAGATAAGTATACAAACACCACGGGGGGTGTTACAGGCAGTTTCAACTGAGTTGGTGTCAAATGAATCTCCCTACATGGACAGTAATTGTGAAGTAAAGTTAAATGGACGGAAACCAAAACTAGTAAATCTAGAGCAGTTATTGGAACATCTGATCGATGGCCAGATAAACTTGGTCAACAAATTAACAAGCTGACGAAATAAAGGAAAAATAAACTCCAATGTTATATTTTGGGACTCAGATTTTAACCCAACATAGCTCAACATAATTAAACTGGAATGATTACACTGTTACAGGATCACAAGGTTATAAAGTAAGACGGCTGGGAGTAAGCTTATCATAATGGTTGCTGAATACGGCTTCAAGCACCGTGTCAAACAGCTGACTCGGTCCAAGGCGTACGCAACATCCTTGATCTAGTACTTATAAATAACCAGGGTATAATTAAGAACACTGAGATTATGGAAGGAATTTCTGACCACGACATGGTTCTAGTTGACACTGATGTAGCTCTAAAGGGGAAGAAGCAACTCAAGAGGAAAGTTTATATGAGGCACAAAGCAAACACAGAAGGGATAGTAAACGACGTAAAGGCCTATCCGTCAATCTACAAATCATCAAAAGAAGGAAAATCACCAGATTTCAAATGGAAGCTCATTCAACAGGTCTTGCTTGATCTTTCGGAAAATCATGTACCCCACAAGTTCACATCAAGTCGCTATAGCTCAATAATGCTCTTAAAAAAAAGAACACAGAAGAAAAAAATGCTTCTACAACAAGAAAGCAAAAAGGACAATAAGAAAGAAGATTGGCAAGCTTTCTAACAATCTCGTGAGGCTATGAAAAATCAACTCTGCAAGGCAAGAACCCAGTATATAAATTGATACCTCCAAGAAAATTTAAGGCAAACCCCCAAACCTTCCGGTCATTCATAAAAAAGTTTCAGAGGGAGAATGTTGGAGCATCCGATCTGAAAGATAGCGAAAACATCAGAAGCGACAGCAACGCGAAAAGCCTACTTATTAATTATTAAGCAGTTTCAGGATGTCTTCACAAAAGACACTAAAGCGGCAACTGACGGTCATGATTCATGGAGGTGTGTATCCAGCAATCTCTCCGTTACAAATTTCTGTCAAGGGTGTCAAAAACACACTTAGGGAACTTAATCCATGTAAAGCACTGGGGACAGATAAAATTCCTTTATGATGATAGTTGTTAAAACTTGTTGCAAAACTTGTTGCAGAACCACTAGCACCTGTTCTCCAAGACGTGTTTCAAAATTCAGTGAATACTGGGATGGTACCATCAGAATGGAAGACACCAATGTTCAAGAAGTCTTGAACAAGCAGTCTTCAAGAAAGGGGCACAATCAGATCCAACAAACTATCGTCCAGTGTCTCTCACCCCGTTCCTTGCAAAATTCTTGAACCTATACAAAGAAGCATCTTGATAGAAACAATATTCTTACAGATTGTCAACATGGCTTCCGGTCTAGAAGATCGACAGAAACTCACTTTATTACGTTGCATGACATAGGCAGGTTAATTGACAAGCAAACAGTAGATAGCAGTACTTGACTTTACGAAGGCTTTCGATAAAGTCCCACACAATCTTCTGTTAAATAAATTAAGACATTACGGCATTTTGGGACCACTGCATCAGTGGATTCAAAGTTTCCTGTCTGAACGAACCCAGAGGGTAGTTCTAGATGGTCAGGCTTCAGATCTTGTACCAGTAACATCCGCATTCCCCTAAAGATCAGTGATTGGCCCGCTGTTATATTTGTATATACACGATCTACCAGAGAACCTTACTTCAGACGTTCGTCTCTTTGCTGATGACTGTCTTTTGTATAACATGGATAAGGTCCAACTACAGCAAGACCTTCGCCAACTAGAAAACTGGCAATCAAACTGGGAAACGAAATTTAATCAATCCAAATGTTGCACAATCTCCACATACAGGCACCAGGGCACTGATCAAAACCATCCATAATTTTTACGACAAAAACTTAAGTAGTGTAAACAGCTTTAAATATCTTGGGATTCACATCACTAATAATTTGTCATGGAAGAAACATGTCTGAAACCTGTAAGAAAGATCTGAGGGTATTAAATATTCTAGGAGGAATCTGCGAAGCTGTACTCCAAATGGTCAAAGAAACAGCGTACGTCACACTGGTTCGTTCGACCATTGATGGAATATTGCATCATCTGCCTAGGGTCTCCACTTGGCGTCTGACATTCACAGTCTCGAACTGATTCAAAGACAAGCTCCCAGATTTATTTTCAACAACTATAGTACACCATCTGACACCGTGACAAACATAATACTTAAGGAGCTTGATAGTGGCCATCTCTTGAGACACGGCGTAAGTTGAACAGGTTACCCACGATGTTCAAGACATTTAAAACAATTGGTCGATGTTCAGTCTGATGGTATCCTCCTTCCAAATGTTAGAATCTCTAGGGGTCATAAAAAAAAAAAAAAAAACAACTGAAAATCAGTACTCCACCAAGGTTTTTAACAATACCTTCTCCCCAGAACAGTCAGGTATTGGAACAATATAATATAATATGCCACAATCTGTGGATAATGCAACATCAGTGTCAGCCTTCAAGGAGGCAGTCGGGCAATTTTTTTTCATTGATGGGTCGGTTTAAATTAGCGTCAATCCCCAACGCGGGGTTTAAACCTAATCACGACCTAATACAGTTGGTGTGATGCGTCTTGTGGATGCTTCGCCGACTATATTATTCCATGGATCTATGATTGTACAGATACAGTACGCCGCGTATTCACTTTAGTGCCAACAGTTACAATTGGGCTCCCCACAGAAAAAAGGTACATATAGCGTCATTGTGCAGTACCCTGTAGAGAAGTTTAGCTCGGTTTTTCACCTTCGGGGGACGGAGCGAAAAAGGAATCGATAATGCAGTGCCAAGTGTCTGTTTTTCCTACTGACTCGATCATTTATAAATCGTCCCTCCCCCTCCAAGAAAATTTCAAGTTGGGCGAAGGGGTCGACCCTCCCACACCATATATACGACTGTCCCGTTTTTCTTTTTGACCTGAGTCACCTTGGTCGACCATGAGCACCGCCGATCGAAATTAGGCCCGTCCAACGTGCTTCTTTTCTAGGTTTCACTCATCGAGCTATCTGGTTCGTCAGTAACTCCGTCAAACACGTGGACGTGCAGCTGATGGCAGGCTCCCATTGGACGAACACTAAAGTTGCACGTTTCCTCCCGGTTCAATGTAACTCTCGGTGCATTGGGCGTTGTATAAACTGAAGTGACGTTACACTTACGAACAGGATTATCAACTTACAAGTCTGTCTTTTCACCATGTAAACGCATAAACCGCCAGTCTTGCGCGTATAACCGTGATTTTGAAAAGTATATTGGCATACAATACGCCAAACGGTGGATGGCAGGGCGTTCAGTGCGCATTACGCACAACACACTTACATTGCCTGTGTGTTGTTTACATGACTTGTGCTTCCAAAATATGTTCAACTTTTTTGCTCTTCTGCACTGCTATTCCTTCTTTCCAAATGTTGCAATCGCATCGTTTTGAATCCCTTTTGGCCAGATTAAGTAAAGAGAGGAAATATTTTACAGTCGAAACTTAATGGTTTCACAGAATTTTATGGCTGGAATTCTTCAAGTGTGCGTAAATTCCCTATACCGAGGGGTGAATTTGCCCATAGTTTTGCTTGTAGTCGGGCGCCGTGCAAATCACAAAAACAAAGTATTTTTGAATACGACTTGACGGTCTATGCGTTCATAATTATGTGGGTGTCACTCAATGGGTGCGTTCGATTAGCTTCCCTGAAGACACCAGTGTTACACCAAGGGAAGCCTCGAAATGAAGGTAATCGAACGCTGCAGAGTACTCGCCAAGGCATTCTGGGAAAAAGGTCAAGTCCCCGCCACGTTCCATCATGTTCATGTTCCAACAGTCCATCAGTGACGTTATTACACTCAGGCAGCCTCCAGAGACCCGCTTGCGGATCGCCAGCCTGGGTAGTGGTGGCTGACACCACCAGGGCAGGCACGAAGATCAAGTGATGGCTAAACGAACGCTCTCGTCAAGTTTGACTTACTCGTGTAAGCTAATCGAAAGCACCCTGTGGCGCGTGCGCGTGAATGACGAAGTCACTTATCGTAACGGGTAAACGGATGTCAATTTGTAACGCGTCGACCAATCACAATGTGCCAAATTTGTCGACCCAATGCGCGTTTGGAAAGGGTCGACAAACTTCGCGCGTTATGATTGGCCAACGTGTTGCAAACTCTTGGTGGCGCACTATTGTGAATCGCCCGTATTGTAAGGCTTGAATTAGAGGAAAACACAATTCCACGAAATGATCACGAGAGGTTTTGAGGGCGCAAAGCAACGTAGGGTCTATAGTATACATTTGCATTTACATGTACTTCAAGACAAGCCTTGAAATAACAATTTCCTGTGTTATGTATAACTTTTTATAAATAAAAAATCTTATAATAAAATCAGGACCGAGTTTAGAGATTTTTCAGAAAGTCCTGAAATCAAAAAAATACCATGACAGAATTCTAAAATCAGGAAAAATCCTGACAAAATCCAAAACAAAATACTTTATCTTTCTTTCTATATTTCTATTCTGTTCCTTTTTAAATTGGAAGATGGGCTGACAAGTGTACTGTCCCCGAACTTGGAGGAGGGGTGTTTTTGGTGACCGTAAAATGTGAAGATTTGTAATTTCTGTATCCGGTACGGATAGGCCTTCTGAGGAATGACGCTAAATGTTAGAGCTTTGCAGTAACTTTGGGGACGGAAATGACATAGCCCCTAATTTTTCTTCACTCTTCACACAGACCTTATACGGATCGCAGTTAGGGCTTCGCACTTCTCCTAGTTCTAATCAAGGCTACAACCCCCCCCCCCCCCACTTTTGAAAAGCGACTGGCTGTAATTTAGCAGAGGCATAGGTCCAGAGACAGTAGTATTCTAATTGTAAAATGATTTTTCCTCACATTTACACGTTTGAGTTGCCTTACCATATTTTTGCATCAAAGATTGGCAACTGTCCTATAGTTGCAAGGAACTTCACTGAATCTACAACTTCAGCTTTAAGAACCCTTGGGGCACTCCGTGATTACCCGTACTTCAACTATTATTTCTTCCACATACATAAACGGTGGACATCATTGTAATTTTTGTTGGGCCCCCGGCCTGTTCCTTTTCATTTTGCTACCACTAACCCTACCCAAACAAGGGTATGGGGGGCAGGGGGCCAGCGACCCAAGACCCTTTTTTTAAATAAAAATGTAAGGTAATTTTTTTTTGGGGGGGAGGGGTCTATTCGTTTCCTTTCCCCCTCCAAAGCAGGTTAAAGCCCCAAAATGTAACTTAAACCCTCAAAAAGGCCACAACAGGTTACAGACAAAGATTTCAATTTTTGCACCTCCTCTGAAACTTTAGTTCAGGATGCGTCCTAGACCCCACATCTCCTCTAAACAAACACGTGTCGGAGAACACCTTCGATTGTATGCACACCGTATGTTTTTTCTCTCTCGATGCACGTTTAAGTATAGGAGGTCCAGGCTGTATACATATCCTACATGTACAAAAACATCATTTTGCGTCGGACTGGGAAGGTGGAATTATTTCGTAGCAACATGATACGATGTTCTATGATGACCACAATGAAAAGGAGCTTTGAAAACTTGACGAATATCACGATATCTTGCCCATTAGAAGGAATATACCGTACGCGTATAGACAAACATGACAAAAAATGGAAAATTAGCCTAACCAGCTGTTTTTTCTTCTGCCAAGGCATGGGCGTCAATGGGAAGGGGGGGGGAGACATGTCCCGTTTGTTTCCCCCTCCGCATTTTTTTTCTTCCGAACCCTATGAGCAGACCAACATTTCATTCATTTTCCATATACATGTGCCAATGTCTTTCCTCTATTGTGGGACTAAATGGGAACGACAACCAAAGGGTTCCAAGCTTATTATACAATTTTCAAAGATAACCATTATTTAGGTCCAGGCCCTTGTAAGCGGACCCTTGACACCGCGCCATTATAGGGCTTCGCGCTCACATCAGTTCTGATCAAGGTTATGCCCCCCCCCCACTTTTGAAGTGCGACTGACACCCATGTGCTAAGGATAATGACGCAAACTACTTCCCCGGAATTTCATGGATGAAAGACTACCAGTATCACTGACAAATACAGTAACTGCGGCGTTGCAAGCAGGGCGAATTCTGTCTCACTTTTCCACTGATAATGCAGGTTTACAACAAACTGCGATTCTCAGTAAAATAATCAAAAGTACAACTCTGATGCCCCAATTGCTTATTTTGACCCATAATGTAGAATTCAGTGATAGAGATGTGTCACAAACCATTAGACTAACAGAAAAAATACGTAGCCAAAAGATATACAAAGATTCTCCATACACAATATGTATAATGCAGATATCAGATAAAATCTTTATTTAGAAGACACGAACAGAACGTCATCATAGAAGTGATACATTTCCGTCACGATCATACTACTCTTTGTCGTTCAGTATTCAAACGAGATGTATAAGATTTTCATAGTTCAAGGAATAAATTATGATAATCACCATACCTTTTCTTTATTTATCATGAATTTGAGGCTTTTTTGTCTAGGCTAACAAAACAGCCTCAAATATGGAAAAAATCGTTTCTCCTGGTTACAAAACTGTCAAAAAATACAATCAAAGGATTAATGCACAATCTATCACTGTGTTAATCACGTGCCCCACGAAGTGACATACTCCGTGACAGAAAAAAAGATTATGCAAAAGCTAACGGAAAAAAGCTGAACAAAACAATATCTGCTACATTAAATAATGAAAGTCATGGTTTGTATTTCATTTTCACAAAACGCAAACACAATTTAGTTTTGAGGGTACGCGCTATTCATGAATAGCGCCACCCCCTCTCTGGCGATCCAGACTTGATGACAAGTATAAAAGCCGAGAGCAACAGTGGCGGACTGGCTTCGGGGAAGCCAACACACCTCGCGTTTTCAGTATTATTTGATAGATTCTTCGTGTGATTTCCTTCCAAATTTCTCTACATTCGGCCACAACATGGCAAATTCACAAGCAGTGGTAATGTATAAGCCATTTCCTACTTCATGATTACAATTAACACCTCACATTGTGTTCCATATTTGTTACAAAATGTCTCTAAAAACAACATACTGGCAATCGTAAAAAGCGGGAGTGTATTTGTAATAAAATATACGCCAATTTCCCATCTTTACCAGTACAAATTATACAAATCCGTAATGGATGATGTCATAACAAACGTCCGAGAGGCCTTTCTGGATGAAGGAGTAGATGAACAAGTCCTCCAGGAACTGAAGCAGGTGAGAAAATTGTTCGAGTGTCGCTACTCGCTTGAAAACGCGGAGCGCGCGATACGAACCGGTATAGCGGTATGGCATTATGAGGCGTAGCTGGCTGGTGCATGCTGTGTCTGCCCACGGGTCCGGGGGAGCACACTGTACATGATGTAGTACTTACAGACTGCACGACTCAGCCACAGCGCTGACACCTCTCTACGAGCACATCGAGGTAGAACAAATCAACTGCATTCTGTCGCTCCTTATTCTTCTGCAAATTCCAATTTCAACCGCGATACCATCCCATCGGTTATTGGGGATTAATTTAGATCCATTTGGTGAGGGGTATGGCTCAGGAAACGCTGTTAAAAACCATCGAAATCCACCGGTAATTTTTTTCGGTCCCACTGTTCTGGTCGGGCACTGACGGCAGTGCACCGTCTGCCATTGTTCCTCCATTGCACCGCACTCTTGAAACCCAGATATTTGCATATGCTAGTGTATTTATAGTTCACCCCTCATTTGCCTATCGCGTCACTGGTAGCCAATCAGTTGCTCCAGTGTTGCAATATTATGACCTCTGACATGAATATTCAGCAAATGGTGTACATGTGCGGGTATGTACTGCAGCATGTCAGATACATGTACATGTACTACAGAACATGTACAGTACACTGTACGTGTACATGTACATGCACAGTGCATGTACTTGATTGGACAATGCACAGTACGTAGTTTTCATACAAGTACATAATATACCCATTGTCAAAAAAGAGGGCAGCCTACCCAGTTGCATGCCATGGGCTTTTTGAAAAGAACTAAATATTTTCTACCTATTATTTGAAGGCAACATGATTCTTTTTTATGCAACACAGTTGAAAAACCTCAACTGCTGTCTACCTGGATTACCAACTTGTCAAAGAAAAATAAAAATCATGGGTCAGTATGCAAGACATTGGATTATTGTGTACACAAAATGTAGCTGATGGGATGCATTCATTAAAATTTGTGTCCTGTATTAAAAGCATTTCATTTACAACTATGAATGCCAGATGAAGACCAAAATGACATCATGAATTGCCTGTCTTCATTAAATTGAAAACTGAATACATGTTGCTAACTCTTATAACCACCCCTTCAACAGAATGGTGCATGCCATACTGGTGAACCTGTTTGTTTTCCCAGAGCTTTGTTACAATGCATTTTTGGAATTGCGTGTTTTAAAGCTGGACAGTCACTGCAAGAAATTAATTTCTCAATGCAGGCTCCTCCTTTGTAAAAAATGTGTATGTCAATTCAAAGCAGAATAGCAACATGATTACATCATACGTGTAATGTATGTCCACATTACAGTTTACCTGTAGCTGCAATGAATTTGTCTGAGACTTTCTGTCTGCAACTTTATTGTGTATTCCTATTAGACTGAATGCATTGAAAAGAACACTTTTTTAAAGGAGACAAGAAAGGTTTTTTTATAATTTGAATGCGTGTAAGAGAGCTTTCTTGCGATGTTACGTGACTTTCCTTTGTGGTGGTTAAAACTTCAACATATTGGTTTTTATGCTAATGAAAATTTTCATATTGGGTTCGCTAAAACATGATGTCATTCAAGGCGGAATAGTAGTGGCTCCATAGCTCTGTGTATATCACACATTTTCTTGGAGTTCCACTCTTTACTTTATCATGTTATAGTAAGTACTTTGTTTGGACAATAGGCCACTCTCATTTTGCCTACAACTTGTATGGGTGGCCAGTTTGCAGAAATTTCACCTTATGGTTGGTTTTTTATTTTACCTCCAGTTTCTTTCTTCGTTTTATACTCTTTGACAAGTAGTGGTGCACCAAAAGAAAACAAGTACCCCTTTATGTAGGCAACGGATTTTATAAGAATGAAAGAATTAACACCTTCATGTCAATTTTAATGAAAAGAAGTATCGAGATTTTTGGTATTATTGTAACACATGGTAATGTGGATGAAAACTAGTTGAGCTGAATGTCCACTGCATGTTTCCGATGAAGATTTCAAATTATCCATGCTTCCCTGGGCAACTTAGGGTGCTGTTGCCACGATGTCATCCAGGGAAGATATTGTTCAGTGCATAGGTTTTTCTGTTAAAATTATGAACCCAGAATCTACTCTCACAAAACTTGCACAACAATGGATCACCAGAGAAGACAAACTTTAGGCCAGAGAAGTCTGAAGATATAAAGGATTGTTTGTGCTCAATACAATGCAACACTGAGGTTTTCTTTTTGAAATAACATTACAGTTTTGCTTTGAATATGGAAATGTCAATAGCATAAAACCTAAAACTAAAGGGCAGCAAAATATGGTTCCCTTTCATACACTGAAACAACGTACATTGGAAATGAGGTTGACTGAGACACACAGGTGCATTTTGATGTGTATGTTTATTCTATTTCAGAGAACCTTTAATCAGAACATTTTTTCTTAGTGCTTACATTTGTAAGGCACTTTCCTTCAAATTGGAGCTCTGATAAAAACCTTCTGACAGTTACAGTTGTAATCAAATCCTGCTTAGAAGGGAGTGTTGCAAAGACAGAAGGAATCATTCGTGTGCCTCATATTTTCTCCCTATCTGCTTTATTGTCATAGTCAGTTGTAGTCACGAAATAACTATTTTTATTTCTGTCTTCACGTGGTTGTGGCTCACCGCCGACAGATCTGGGAAAGCAAATTGATGATGACCAAAGCTGTGGACCTGACCCCCCAGCCCCTCCCTCAGACAGAGGACAGCAGCAGACAGCGGGAAAAGGCCAGGGGCGGGGCCTCATCTTCGGGGAGTGGTCATCTGCCAGCCCAGCTGCAGCTTCAGGCCCAGCAGAGAACGGCAGCTGTGGGCAGCAGTGTCCCCCAGCAGCAAGGCAAGTTGTGTGTAGGCTGAGTCGGCTGCAGGTGGGAAGCACCATAGGCATTGGTACGAAGGAAGTGGTGGCATCCGGCCCATCAAGTGACTTCCCTAGGCTGGCTTGTTGATTCTCAGCCAAAGCTAGATCTTTTGAACCCAGCTTGTAGTTACAATGCTATGTTCAGTATAGTGTGCCTTATTCACCGGCAACATAAAAATCAGTATGTAAGTTGGCAAGTGCAGCTGAGAATATAACTGTATTCTTTCCTTTTCCTAGCTTTTAAATGGGTGTTTTTCTGCCCTTTTTTCTGGGGGGGTCTTGAACTTCATTACATTGTGATATTACATTGTGATTTTTCTCTTCACATACCAAAATCTCCATCACTTGTTTGAGCCCCCATTTTTGTTCACTTTGCTCAACCACCATCTTCAGGTACATGTACATGTAGCTTTCCTTTAACGGATGAGTATCACAGATCTGTGCGTTGTTGTGATCTAATTTGAGATGGCAATTATTCCACAATATAGAAATATACTTTGATTTATTACTGTGCAAAACAGTGATGTCATCACTGACATTTTGCCTTTGAGAACGAACCTACTAAGATCAACACAGGACCTCTAACTTTTCGTAAAATTAATTTGGGTGTGAAATTCTTTGTGCGACCCTTTTTAATGTACAATTTTGGATTGTTAGTTGTAGCTGGGTTGCTTTTTTTGTTGCTGGATGTCTATTTTATTGAGGAAATTTGCCAAAGAGAATGTCGTGCAACTGAGTAGAGCTTTTCATTCAAATTTCACTGTTTTTTTTTTCTGAAACAGGTAGCCAGGCATTCCAAATATCTGGTGCAACTACACAGCTTGTGAGCATTTTGTTTTCACCTTTATTTATCGTTAAATTTGATTTTAAAAAAATTGAATGAGCAATGTCGGGCGCAGGAAGAAATTATCTAAGAAAGGTTGTCTAAATAAGTAACAAGAAACAAACAAAAAACAGAGAGCAAATTCTGCTCCAGAACAAAGGTAGTCGAAACATTCTGAGTTAAGCACAGCTGATGCTGCCCTCAGGGATAACCTTTACGAGGCTTGCGCAGCCAGGTGAAAAGGACGCAGTGTGTGATGGCAAGATTTGCACAAAACAGTCTACCCTCTCAGGGATTTTACCAGTGGGTTTCAACCTTCCATGTTTTACATGCTTGACAAAAATTTCAGCTCTATTCGCCATCCGCTTTGTGTACTCCCAGGCGAGGGTTCTAATATCATCTTTGTGAAGAAATTGCACATCTGTTTATATGTAATTCTCATTGTAACAGTGACTTTCGTTAGGTACTCTGGTGTTAGGGATCCAAGTGCCTCATAACAAGAATTGATTTGCTTGGGTGTTTCTGCAGAGTTCATCAGCTGCTGCAGCCACGTTAGCCTTTCAGCAAGGGGTGTTGCAGCTACCCCACCAGTTGACCACCCTTCCAGCTGGACTGACATTAGCCCAGCCACAGGCAGGTAGGCTCCACAGGGTTTTTCACTCATGGAGAATACTGCTCCAGAAAATTTGGAAATTTTTTATAAAATGGCAACTCAGTCACACGTCATGCTCTCAACTGTTACTTTCGTTTATATAGGAAAAACTCTTCAGTGAAAGTTTCATCAGCATTAGCAAAATTTATCAGCTGTGTCGTCTGTTAATGAGCCACCCCCTTCCAAAATGAAATGGGCCAGAGGTGTTGTATTGCAAAAGTGGTATTGCATGGGGTAAATTGTTAGTACTTTTAGAGTTGTAGTCGATTTAATGTGGCTTTGATTTCTGTCCACACCTGCGTCCCCATTGTTTTACCTTTAGGCTTTATATTTAATAATTATGGTTACGGTGCGTGTACAACCTCTATACCAACTTCTATATGAGTTGTCATTGCTGATGCCATGCAGTGTGTAACTCGGCTTGTGATTCTTCCCAGGAGGGACCCAGACTTTTCCGGCCTACACGTTAAGCCAACCCCACGGCGCCTTGCAGGCCGGGGCATACCAAGCCGTCCTGCCCAATGGCCAGACCGTGATGATCCACCCGTCTCCCCAGACGACCCAGACCCAGCCGCCGCCACCGCAGCAACAGCAGCAACAGCAACAGTCCCAGCAGGCACCAGGCACCATCAACTTGACCACAGTGCAGGTGGGTGTCGGGCAGTGTCTCCCCAGCCCGGGGTGTTTTGGTCCTGCGGCATGCCAGGGTTGTGATAGCCACATCTTGCCATTGTGATAGAATGTACATGATTGTACTTCGTAATACGCCATGCCCAGGGCAGTGCAAGTCTCATTGATTTGTAAGGAAGCAATATAATCCATACCCACTTTTGCTGAGGTTCCCATTGTAGAATATTCCACATTAGATGGTCAGCATATTTCACAGGGTAGTCGTAAAGGATTCTGAGTGCACACAGTGACTATGGATTTTCTGTTGTATTGTCTATAATCACAGAATGGTAAGCATCAGCAGAGAATCTTGTGATAAGACATGTTATAAAGTGTCATAATTTTGCAGCAGCTGCATCCATAGTGATGTTCACAGTAATAACAGATGTTGAACATACTGTGCATGTAGGTAATGTGGTTTGAGCCGCACTTTCATCAGACAACCACAGGTCTTTATCCTGGTAATTACATCCTCCGCTTTCTCGTCTGCAGGCCCGCGTTCTGCAGGTAGATGGAGCGAATGACACCTCGGACGAGGAAGAGGATGAGGAGGAAGAAGAGGACAACGAGAACGAGGACGAAGAGAATGAGGACAATGAGTATGCGAATGATGTGGAAGAGGTACGCAGGTATCCCCCCAGGTGGTCCAAAGCAATCTGGCGGATTGTAGTCATGGCTTACGTACTAATGGAGGCTATTAAATTGAGGACAAGTATGCCAGTGATGTTGAACAGGGTAACGGGCACGTCACAAGCTGGGCAAGCTGGGTTTGGGCCAGGCTAGCCTGGCCCAAATCATAAACCACGGGGGGGAGGGGGGAGGAAGTGTGTAAACAATCAGATTGCTTCATTGCTGGCAGATTGGGGATAATTTGTCAAGAAGCCTGCAAAATATCCACAACAGTGTCCACAGATTGTCTGCAACTTGTCCCTGGCACATTTTGAGATTCTGGGCATGGATACTTGGAGTGAGATTTGTTGGAAGGAGATTGGTGGGAATTCAGTGTGTTGTGTTAATGAAGAGGAAAAGGTTCCCTAAATCATTGCACATACATGTAACTTAACATCACCCTGGCTTGGGTTAAAACCACAAGGACTCAATAAAGATTATAATGAGAACGGTGCCTTACTCGCGGTGTGGAGGGCCGGGCTGTATAAAATTCAGTGTTACAGTCAAGACTACTTAAGACCTTCACAAGACCAACACCAGACCTCCAGTCTGAATTCAATTCACAAGCCATTCAAATGAACTGCAACAAAGCTCTCCTTTGTCGTTACCCATTGTGTTCTTTGTGTCTGGTTTTGTGTCTGGTCTTGTGGTGGTGTGGACTACAACGCTGGTAAAATTGCAGATACCAGGCTTTTTTATGTTTGACTTTAGTTATATCCATATCAGCTTGGATGGGACCGAGTCTTTAATCAATCAAGTCCAAACCAAGTTTATTTCTCTGCCAGGAATCCTTGAATAGTGATGATGATGTCAGTGATGAAGATCCAGAGGAGCTTTTCGAGACTGAAAATGTTGTCGTGTGCCAATATGACAAGGTAAATATACCTCTTTTAGTGGTAGCCATCCTTTAGGTCTATGGATCCCAATCTCCTCTAATTGTCCCAAGAGATAAAACTTTCAAGTACTGTATCTCCCGTAGCTTTTTAATTTTAAGAGGCACCTCTGTCGGCAAAAACATAACATGCATACTGTACATTTGGTCTCGACAAAATCTTCAGAAATGGTCATTGCGATCATACACTGGTCTCTTTTCATAGGATTGTCATTTTGCTGTGTAATTGGAGACTTGGGCGTGCGATCAGCTGATTTCCTTGGTTTTCACTTCACATTCATGCCTTTGAAGGAAAAAACACTGTATAGAGTCTTGTAAAGATTGGAATTTCCTGGGTGTTTTTTTATCAAAGTCCAAGATGCATGACTGGAGACTCTTGAGACACTTGCCAATGGTAATGATGCCAGTCCCGTATGACCATTCTGAGCTTCCACCATAAATCTCTACACAATTATCTTAAGGTGTCATTGCCGACTTCTTGGGTAATCCTTGTATGTATCACAATGTTTCCTTAGTGCAATTGATATGTGTGTTTCCAGACATTCAGGGCTGACAAAATCTCTGAGGGAAGAACAGATAATAGACCAGTCCATTAAGCCACGCCGGACTGTGTTCTGACCAGTTTGTCTGACATGGGGGCACAATAGTCTGATGTGTACGCGCATTGGAGAAGAGCATGCACTGTGGGCCCTCATGTATTATGGGCGGGGCTTACTGGATCAGTCTGTTGTCGAGGATCATTGAGAAGTTGCATTTCTTGTCGGAGAAGTGAAATTTTGTTCCTAGGCAACATGGTTGCTAGTTCATTTGACAACTTGAGATGCACCCCTCACATCAGTTAGTAGAGCCGGAGAGACTGGTTTGAAATTGTCTCAGACGACTTTGTTCACTCATAGTTTTCTCACCCCAGTTGTAAATTAAGCAGGTGCAATAATCCCCATTTTGGACTTCTTTCCCCGCAGATCAATAGAAGTCGAAACAGATGGAAGTTCCACCTGAAAAATGGGATAATGAACCTGAAGGGCCGAGACTACGTCTTCTTCAAAGCCAGCGGAGACGCAAACTGGTAGTTGGCCCATCCCGTGGTCCTAAACAAATAAATAGCCCCCACCATCCCAACTCTCGTAACTCCACCTCTCATGTGGTGTCAACAGTGCAATTTGGGGCTCATTTTGTTTGTTGTCAAACCTCCATTCCATGTCAATATTTTTTTTTTCGATGAGAGGGCATTTGAGGGAAATGTCTTCATTTGGGAAAAAATGGAAACTACTCCTGTGTCTGTTTCCTTTTGGTCTCTTTTTCTATTTTCTCATAAAAAAGTCCTGTTTATTTCGTTTAACTAACATTATAAAACGAGATTGAATGCCAGACTTGTACAATAACCTTTTGTGGATCTGAAAACACAAGTCGCAGGCAGTACTTGTCTCCGTTTGGATTTCATGATAAGAATGTATATACTGTAATTTGTGAACAAACAAAAAAAATTAACTATTAACAAATCATAGCAGAGACAAGAAACTACATTTTCTCCCCCCCCCCTTCCCCGAAGAAACCTACGTAGTGTGTAATTTTTGTCTTCAGTTTTGAATTTCTCTTATCCAGTTGTGTGAGTTTAGGAGAAAGGTGGATAACCCGCTACATGTGCTATCCTGGTCGTGAAAGTCGGGATTCTTCAAAAAGTGACTAGGGGCCTTCGAGGCTGATTGTAGAGCTGCACTGCTTAAAACATTGTTTGCCTGAAGCAGAAAATAGCTCTAACCTTCATCAGCGTCTTGTTTTAGGAGGTTGCTTGCATTTATTTGCATAGCATAATTAATACCAAGGCACCGCTAGCTAATGCTTCCATGTGCAAGCAGGTACGTGTACCTACCTGCATTTGAAATAAATTCAACTTCTCGCAGCTTTTTTGCGTGCTCTGTGAGGGACCACGATTCCTTTCTTATAGTTTACGGTTGGGCCAGGCTGATTTTTATCAGAGCCCAACTGTAAGAGAGGAGGATATGCCACATACCTGGGTCTCCCCCACCCAATGTTCCTGCCCCCACCCCACCTGTTGCTTACATTCAGACTGAAGTTCTTTATGTACACTTTGCACCCTGTATGTGCAATCACTTTTTGCACACACATGGAGTTGGTGTAATGTAAAAGATTTAAACATTTCAGTAGATTTGTAATAAAAATTAAAAAGTAGAAGTGACGGTTGATACATTTCCCCTGTCACCAGGAGTTTTGCCAATGCCAAGATTTATTTGACAAAAGTTCTGTACTTTGTGATGTGTAGTAGCAGATAGGCTGGCAACAAGCTTGATTCGATCAGACAACCTGACACTGTTGTTCAAGAATCAGGAGCCAGGTTTGAAATTTCTTAGACCGGACACCAGTGAGATGTCCATCCAAGGACGTGAGGGTTAATTCAGCTGTGTTATTTAAAAGGTATATGTGTTAGAAGATGGGTGATGATGCGATCACTCCTTCATTTTGAAGGGCGGGTTGGGTTTGTTAGTTTGAATCATTTTGAACCTTTTTGACTTCAAAATACCGATAGTTAGAAACAATTGTTACGTACATGCACGCTAAAAAATAATCGTTTACTTTGACCCTAAAGGGCTTTTGGAGAATAGGTTCTTTTGCTTCAGGACGTGTGTTCGTCTTGTTACTTGGTACTTTTTTAAAGCCTTGGTGCCCTTACCATGGCAGACTGCTAAGGAACGGTGCTTACAGAATTACCACATTTTTTTGTATTAGGCCCTGAAAATACATTTTTGTCCTGTATTGAGCTTAAATGAAACTAAATAGGATGTGTGTAAAACTGTCCAAAAAGTGAGAGCTGTATGAAGTAATGTTATGCTTTGAGACTGGTAAATGCCGGTTTGTAAATGTGTGTATGGTACATTTATTTTCTAGTGTCCCCGTTGTAAACAACCAATTGAAAAAAAAACTTTGTAGCCCTGATGAACCAATCAGTCGTTCAGTTTACTGCCGACTAAGAATATTATTTACCTAAAATCAGTCTAAAAGTAGATCCGTGTATAGAAAAATTTTTTCGTGAAGCTCAGTCGTTCATATTGTTCTTTGTAGATTCCCCCAAGGCGGCATGCATGCGGGCGGCTACAGTATTATTTTTTAACTAGACAAAGGATGTGCCTCCTTACCGTGCCATGTTTTTAATTAAAAAAAAAGAAAAAAATTATTACCATATTCTAAAGGGATGCTGTAAGGCTGCCAATCCATGTGTGGGTGGGTGGGCCTTCCCTGTGTTAAGGGACTGCTTGTTTTGTTGGGGGACAATTTCTCCCCGTAGCATTTTTGGTCCCCACAGAATAGGTGAAAGAACGAGTGTGTCCACGGAACAAGTGTGTGTGGTGTTGTTTTTGTTGTTTCATGTTTGTTTTTCTGTCAATCAAATAATTTGTAACAGTTTGCTACGAATGAGTACATGTGGGTGTGTACCTTAGACTGAGGTACGCGCATTGCATGACCAGGTGCTCCATTTTTCCACGTGAAATGATGATTTGTGCCACATTTTTCTTGTGTTTACAGATTGTGAAAAAAAACGGGGCTATAAAATGACTTTACATCAAGGACTGGTAGACTTTATACACGCAAAGGAGAATCGCAACCAATGTGTTGTCAATACAACACTAGTTGCGGGACACACACTCCTTCCTCTTACCTATTTTGTGGGGACCAAACATGCAATGGGGACAGATATTTGTAGAAGGTGAGAGGGAGTAGCAAGAAATGGAATTACGATTTGCTCGTCTTTAGAGCTGTTTCTTTTAACAGTGTGTGGAAATTCGTTATTTGTCCTTGGTGTTCTTATTTTGTTTGGTACAGAAGTCTTGTGGCCCTCGGAATAGCCGCAGAGTGGCCCTCTAAATATGTTTTGCTTGTTAACACAGTAGATACCTTTAAGGTTTAAAGTTTGTGCTCATTGCAGAAGATTGCAAATCACTCTAAAAGTATGTAAATAAAACAAAGAGAGTAACTTCGGATTATAAAATGTGGTTTGTGTTTTCTTAAAGATGGCGACCCATGTCCCACAGTCCATTGCCCCACAGATTGTATTCTGCTACAATTCGACGGCGTTATCAAATTGCTACAGAAATAACCGCCTATAAAGCCGCTGGCTCGGAAAATATACGCATGTGTGCCTGTTGAATGAACATGACGACAGCCGTCTGGTATATCAAGCCCCACTCGACAGTTGGGGTTTCTGGGTTCTGCAATGCGGAAATCAAACGTTGTTGTACATATTCCAGCATTCAAAAGGGGATGGTAATGAACCTGGGAACTACTCATTTGCAGGCACCAGCAAACTCATTATGAATATATTTCCATCCTGTAGTGCTTCCAGTCGGATGACATCTTCACCGATTACCGGAATGTTTTCCGGGAGGCCCGTCCGGATGGTAATTTTGGGTCTTCTGGATTTATTGTTTGTATTTTTTGTTGCTGTGTGTTCTTTGTCCTTGTTTTTGTCGTTGTTTTTCGTTGACGTTGTTGCAGTCTCTGTTGTCATATTCGTGGTCTTTGTCGTTGGTTAATTCTTTTTTGTCAATGCTTTAGTGCAATAATATTAATAGAGATCCCATTGGAAATTAGTTGCAAAACTTTCATGGGTTATCCCTGGTCATTTTGGTGTATATTGTACAGTTCCTGTTCATAGTATTTGTTGTATTTTAAAAATATTTGTTACTGTATTTGTGCTGTGAATTAATACCGACTAAATCCAATCCAATCCAATCCATGCAAAAATACTAGCTCATATAGGGTCCAGTCCATTAATTCTGGTCCCATTGAAAACAGCGTATAATCAACATTGTTCCAGATCCAGTGACATGCTTTCCAACATCCCTGAGATTTCTAAAACACAAATTAAATTATTGTTTGGTCCCTAATCCTTAAATTTCTTTTCAAATTTTTTTTTGTGAGTTAACCTATTACATTTTTAATTATTCTCATAAAACGAATTCACCACCCGAAAAGTGATTTTTCCAAAGTCTGCTTGCAGCCATTTTGCCAAGTGGCAACCTTCAACTTTCTAGGGTACGTGGGACCTTTTTCAATTTTTAGCCATTCTGTTCTCAGATGAAAGCCCACAGACTCAGGAAGTTGATCCTGGCAATGATTTACACAATCTCACCATTTGGGAGGCCAGACAATCTTCTTTTTAAAAATGCTGAGGGGGCACGTTTAATGCTAATGAGCTGGCCAGAAATCCTCATTTGAAGTGGTAGACCACCTATCATTGACGACACTGCTCGCAATCTTGACTTTAATGTCTCCATGTTGGCATTGCGCATAATAATTTCCGTCAACAATGTCATCAAAAGGTAAACTTTAGTCAGGTATAATGGCCTGAAATGAACAGCTGGGGTGGCGCAGCAAAATGCTATCTAGATAAATTTTACAATGTGGATAGAAAACTTCGATAAATGCAAGAGAAACGCGAGAGAAGTGATTCGAAGTGCACTGACTCTGACAGCAGACACTGGAACCAAAACAGTGTGAAGATCCTAACAAACTCTTGGCCAGTGACATACAGGGGGTGTAGCTGGAACAACTCCTCACAATGTGGCAATCTCACCAAACACGTCTTCGAGTAATTGGTTCCTTTTAGTATAGGTTCCCCGGCCAATCTCGGAAAATGCGCTGTTTAGTTTGTAAAATAAAATTTCAATTAGGTGTGGACTTTGAAAACGACTTAAAACCTGCTTTCATTTTCGCAATACGAGCATTCGACTTCGTTTTGCAACCTTCAAATTAGCCAATGTGCTTTACGTTTCATTTAAGCGGTTACAAGTAAGTGATTAGGATTTTGATTTGACGTATTCGTCGCCAATGTAACCAGTGTCCAATCTTATTCACTGTAAATTTGTCTTTTACCGTAAACCGTTGGTATTGAGTATTTATTCTCATTTGCTGTAATCCAAATTCACAAAATTTGCGTTCAATTTGATTAGAAATATACAAGGTTACAGAAATCATGACACCACTTCGATAATGGATGTAATGTTACTCATGAGGGATTGTAGGGTGTTTGTTTTCAACTGTACACCAATTAAAGTCTATGATTTTTCTGTATAAGTTCCCGTTCAGCCATTACAAGAAGGCCATGTGTGAGCCTTTATGTGCTTGTGGCAAAAACGTAGCACGCGAACGAAAGGTTACCTCAGCGTTGGTGTTTGTATACTAGGATTCGTACAATAGTCGGTATGTTTTTAAAGACAACACGAATGGTTTACTTCAGTCATGAATATTCAAACATTTAGCCATTCATCTAAACACTTCTAAAAATATAACTTCTGTTGGCACACAAACGAATTTCCAATTCTTGACCAGGCATATCTTAAATAACATTTCGCACGAAATCGCCTGCACATTTTGCGAAATAGATTGAGTTCAAACTAAGATGCATGCAGGATTGCAGAGGTGCATTCGATTTTGCGCAAAAATGAATGTCAACATTCTAAACCAGTGCAATATCAAGAAACTGAATGCACACTATTTGTTATATATAGAAACGAGGATTTCAATGTTCGTTCGATTTTGCTCGAAAACGAATGCTGCCGTTGCTAATTCATTTACACATTTTCCGAAATTGGCTGGGAAAGCTATATTTAAGTACCTTGAGGGAATCAGCTACCAGCTGTTCCCTTCCAAAGAGGGGACAGCCGTTTCAGAAAAAATTCGCCCCCACCTTGCAGACTCAAAACCTGGATAAGCCATTGCTCCTGGTCCAAGAACATTACACCGTTCACTGTCAGTTTTAGTTAAGCTTTTATAAATGCAAGATAAGAAGAGAAAATCCGGAAGTTTGGGAGAAAAACAAAAGGACAATACCTACCAACATGCACAATAAATCCCAAGACAGGAACTTTATCTATAAATCATGAATCACGTCATCTGATGTCCCACTGCAATTTAAAAGCTCTTGGTCATTTTACAAAAAGAACATTTTTCTCTTTTGTCCTAATTTATGGATCTATCAGTACTTTTGCTTAATGCTAATGGCTCCTCCAGCAAATAGTTGGTGTCTTATCAATCACAGCATTTATGTGACGTGATTTTATACTAGGAAAGATGTATTTGCTTACAAATCTTTTTTATTGCCGTTTGAAATGTGTATAACTTCAATGGGAGGTTACAATTTAGGGTCACAGTGTTTTGCGGCCACTCCACAGGCGTGTACCTCCATGGTCATTTTTCACATTCCTCTAATTTTTGCAGTATGACCACTTGGAATTAGGCCTACTTTGTCTCAGACTTGAAAATTTGCACGAATTTCCTCTGAAATTTGTTTTGCGGCCCCCTTTACCATCTGGTCTTCAGCTACACCCAAGGTCCCCGATATTGAAAGTAGACAGAAGAAATCAAAAGGCTTTGACTCGATACAGAGCGCTTCAAGTCGAGTTCGTATTATTCTGCGCTTGGTCTCCGCTAAGTAGAGTATTCATGCCCTAGTTTGAGGACATAGAATTCTGGATCCAGTCCCGTAAATACATAACGTCAGCGTAAACCGAGGGAATACCAATCATGGCGCAAGGCTTCATGCCCCAGCTGACAACGCCCACCAGCTCCCACTTTCCGCTGGAATTCTTGATCACAAACGGTCCGCCACTGTCTCCCTGCAAAGCCAGTGAAAGCAAGCAGGATGTTTAAACTCTGATTTTTTGAAATGTGTTTGTGGTGGTGGGATTTGTTGGACAACTACGAACTATCTTTCGCAGGAAGAAAACGACCCCCTGCGCCCGCTCTCTAAGGAAAACCGCTGCCTCGATCCAGGACTTGGTTCGTTCAAGAGATGACCATTTTGAATTTCCCGAAAACAATTCATTTATTTGAAGGATTATTTATGGATTGGATCCATAAATCCATGGGATCCCAATTGAATCCATTATTTATGGATTGGATGGAGCCCACGTATTTTGCCGGATTTACAAAAATAGTCTCCCAATTGACGAAAACCGGTGGCATTATTATATCTAATCCATGCTCTTTGGGACTACCAATCCGAGCACAAAAACAGTGATGTGTAAGTATAAATTTTGCCCCAAAATCATCTTAGTGCAAACTGTATCCTAGTGTTTTGGCCCAAATCTGACCTTCACTTCGAATTATGACCAAAACAATGACCCAAGAATCCAAAAATTTGTAAGCAAGGCATCTGCCGTGAGTACACAGATACACTGGAATTAGTACATCTATCCATCATTTTTCCCCACCTCAACAGGAAATCATATTTTGTGACAAAGTACTCACACTGCACGCGCCGTTCTCCTCAGCGTCAAATCCACCACAGATCATGGTGTTGTCCACGTGCCCAGCACTTATGTCAGACATTCGCTTGTTACACTCACTGTGGTCCATGATCGGTGTCATGACCTGCTGGAGCTTGTCGGGATACGAACCTGCAAAGGGGATTAACTTCCACAATCCAATCCATATCTATCTCTGAGCTTAGGACCAAACAAACCAAGAAAGAATTATGTGAATATTGCATGATCACAATGAAGAATGTCAGACCGAGTTTGCAATTAGAGTTGAAAATCAAGAAATCAGCGGTTGATTGTCGAGAAAGCATTATGGGAAACTGTGCCAAAGGATGAATACGGATAAAGGGCCAGTTTCAGCTTTCTTGCACTGATGAGGCCCAAGTCACAAAATAGTCATTGGAAACACCACGACATCAAAAATGGCTCTCTTTTTGCAAATCTTCGCCAATGCTAGTGGCACGCAGTTAATTCCCTTGGGCGCATGCTGCCGACTTTGGCAGGTGTGAGCAAGTGCTCACTGGGATGCACATCAAATGCATTTTGGTTGAGATGTTTAGTGAGTTAATAGGGGTGAAAATAGTTTTGACTCAAATTGGAGATGCTGCCAGTGTTCTGATTCCCAACCCCTGGTGTATCAAGTTAAAACACTACACTAGTGTCTCATATGAGGCACACAAAGCAGTGATGGTGGGACAATTCTAGCCCACAACTCAGGACCAGACTGTAGAGAGTTATTTGCCAATCATCAGTCGATTTGCTAGGGTATAGCTTACGTTGGAAAACAACCAACGATAGACAATTAATTTGCTCCTTGCTGTGCACACCGCTTATCATCAATACGGGCGATTCACAATAGCGCGCCTCCAAGAGTTTGCAACGCGTTGGCCAATCACAATACGAGAAATCTGTCAACCCTTTTCCAAATGCGCATTGGGTCGACAGGTACACGCAAGAAAGAAATCAGTAGAGCTCCGTTCTGTGTGAGCTAAACAAGATTTAATTGCGCGATACCTCAGGGTACCATTCAACATTCTCTGTCAACCCCCTAAGTTGCGAAACATCTTACGTCAAGAAGCATAGTAATGGTCCTTGTGACGAAATCCCTCAAGGGAATATCCGTGTGAAGGGACCGCTATTTCCAATAAGTCCCCTTTTCTAAGCCTTCTCAAATCCGATTCATGGTAGGACATTTTAAAGTAGCTAGGCGTCTACATGTACAAGCGGTGTTTAGTATCCTGAAGTACAAAACTATTAATAATTGAACATGGTCGGAAGGGAAACCTGTTCATTTCTTTTGATCTGACTAGTTGACTACTGCGGTAGTACAATGCTTGTGGTACAACGCTCGTGGACCTGTGGTGCGCGCGCATAACATGCCTTTCCGGTTTGTGATTTCGCCAAACACACGGACCCGCCACTGATTGTAGGCTTCCAATGGACGAGCACTTACGTTGAGCGTTAACTTTCGGTTCCATGTAACTCTATGTGCAGTGGGCATGGTTTAAATTGAAGTGACGTCACATTTACGAACCGAATATGAAGACTTTAATTTGCCAAATATACACGCGCGCAAGTGTTACCACCGCGATTAACGATGTCTCCTTGGATTTGTCTAGAACCATCATTACAATTAGAAATCTAAAGCTAGACGTCAAGCATCAATTAACTGCACCAGTCTCTCCATCCCCCCTGTGCTACCCTGCTGCTATTTACAAGATGAGCTCCAAATTGATCCAGCAAAATTGTACGTGCGTGACATGCATATATTCCCTCTACTGTTCACTGTGGCAAAGTCCACAAATCCCTAAAAGTCCATCAAAATTCCATCATCATCTGTCAACTAGTCTTGAGTCCAGTCCCGAGCTATTCAAACGGACTCTGAACATTAACTCTTACTATTCACAGTTACTATCACCCTGCAACGCACTTCCAGCTGGTCTTCGTATACTATACCTGGACTCAATATACGTGTATTCAACCCTGATTCTCTCCTCACCTTGCCCCCACTTTTGAGTGTCTCCCCAGCCTGTCACGTAAGCGTTGCCTGAGGTGTATGCCTGGGACGGCAGGCACACTGTGTTGATGGTGTCGCTGAGAGTTACGGGGCTAGACAGTTTCATCAAGGCGATGTCATTGGAGAGGCCCTGGTAGGTGAAGCCCGCGTGCCGCACGATCTTGGACACAGACGTCTCCACTGTGCCCGACTTGTCGGTGATATCATGCGCGCCAAGCCGAATCTTCCACTTGCCGATGCTCTCTCTCCTGAAAAGTCAGGGATAAGTTGGAGTCGTGTTGCGTCAAAGGCAAACAGTAAGAACTGTACCTCGAGGGGTTATTAACGGAGAAATTTAATTTAACGTTGGCAAGGTTTTCTACCCCCCCCCCTCTGTTTTTCATGTTTCGAAAAAACAACTGTTTTCTTCAGGTGCAGATTGAAAGGCAAGGAGGTGGAAACCCTTGCCAACTTCAACTGAATGTAGAATTTCCTAGCAGTTACTTTTATCCCAAATGACTTGAAGCTGCTTTGCCAGACCATAGCTGTTGCACGTGTATGTAGGTAACCGTTGGTGTATCCCAATGTGGTACGGCTCCCAAAGCGCTGTACTTCAATCATGAATTTGGCCTTGGGTGCCTTGTTACAGGCAAACTTTCAACTCGTTTTACAATAAGTGAAATTTCACCAAGATCTCAATGTGCCTGTTGATTAATCCTCTGCAGTTAACGTACCCGCGACAAAGTTGGAATGAAATTCTTCTTTGATCTGATTTTCCGGGGTTTTCGTCTCAAACTGCACATGGGCTCTTTTAAAATGCGCCCAAAATACGAAGATGAGTTTCTTATAAACGTGCAGTTAGTAATGTGAGTGGATGTAATACAGATTATCGATTCAACTTTTAAGGAATTCTAACATTAATTTGGTAGTTTCTGGATTTATGCCACCGTTTTTGAATTTCGGACTATCACTGAAATTGTCCACAAAAGTTCAACAACATGTATTTTGAAATTAATACCACCATTTAACTTTATGAATCTGATATTTTTTCAAAAAAGAAGTTGGTAACGTGGCAAAGTTCGGTGCAATATTTTATAAATTCCCCAATTCCATGCCATGGCTATCAGGACTCTGATATACGTGAAGAATATCTTTACAGTCCTGAACGCTGGGTGCGCACATTGTAACGGGCCAGTTGGTTGTAATTGGGCTTCAAAAGTGGCAGACGCTTCTTGTTCGCTCCACGGATTTCGTACATAAGCACTGAGGTGGGTAACTGCAGAAATTAGGGGTCCATTTTTTTCGTGTCTCCGTTACATCTGACATAGGATGTTGTAAGTTCAAAACACCCTTTTCTAATTTCCGAGAGTGATGAATTAATGCGAAGTACCTGCCAAACAAATAGTAATAGTTTGAAATCAATTCCGGTGATATTTCCATGTCAAATAGCAAAGGTCAAAGGTTACTGGGACATGAAAATGTAAAGGTGAGCGTGTTGCTTCTGTCCTGCTTGTCCCGCGTAATGTCTATCCCTGTGGTCAGTCGAGTCGGTCAATCCTTCAAGATCGAGTGGAAAAAGTTTAGTTCCCAATCTGGACATCACCAAGTCTTGATACCCTGCAGTCAAACCCCTTGAGGACTGGTAAAAAATTCCTCTTTTCCCTGCTAGATTGGACTTTTTGAAGGAAATGAAATTTCGTTACTAATAATTATGTCACTTCAAGGAAAATTGGTGATGTATGGGATTCTTGCCGACTGAGCAACACGTGCCTGCGGCAGTAAGACTAGCCACAGGGGCTTACCTCCATGTCCCCCTTGGTTACCTGGGTACAGCCGTTCGTCTGGGCTCACTGAAGGGTGTAGGCCTATAGGTTGCAGGGCCTGACGGACCTTTGACAGAAACGCCGGCTGTACCACAATGCACGGGAAATGGCCGCGTTTCAATTTTACACCACCTACCCGTATACACAGTGCGCCGCAGTGACTATCCACTCATTAGTGATGAGAGATCCCCCGCAGAAGTGATGGTAAAAGCCGAAAAGTCCCCTGAGCCGGAGGCTGACCTGCCACGGCCAGGAGTGGGCCTTGGCTTCCACTCCCCCGACCACTCGAAGGCTGCTGGGAGTTATAGCCGGGCTGCCACATTCGGCTATGATACGGGTGACAAGGGGGACGATTTAAAAATAGTGGGTGAAAAATCATGCGGAAATAATCCAGGGAAACCTTAAAAATTAAATATATCTACGAGAAATCCATGATGAATCGTTCTGAATAAGATGTTCAATCTCTCTGAAACAGCTCTGAGTTACTGGGAGTGGATCACACATGCATGATGAACACAACTACATGTACTAAAATCTGTGAGGAGCTGATCACATTCAAAATGGGATTTTTAAACAGTCTTTTTTGGGCAATCATGGATCTGTGCGAGTCAACAAAAATACGAAATCACAAGGAAAGCCATCAAGAGACTTGTGGAAGTTCCTCTCTCAGCTGCTTACACACATGTACAAGTACTCGACCAGTAACACAACCAGGATAGGAAAGCCTACAGAGGGCACTCGGCCAAGGGGTGCTCGCATTTCCGAGAAGGGCCCCCAAAGTCAATTTACAACCAGTGTCGCTGTATATATATGCAGTTTACTTTCAACATTTCATATAGAGGCGGGAGTGACTTCAGCTGGGGGCACGCGTCCTCCCATGGTTACGTCACTGCTTGACTGCAACTGACATAAGGCTGTGTCCCTTTTTGTTTTAACGGTGACTACAACTTCGGTCGCTGCATGCACACCACAGTGAAACACGGCAGTTGTGAACAATGCAGTAAAGACATGGCCTAGAACACCAAATTGAAGATGACATATAAAAGGAGTTGGTGGGAAACGTAAAGGCATGATCCATTTGGATAACAAACTACAGCCAAGTAATGCAAAGCCCAAATACATTACGGTAATGTCATTTCCTCATGTCATTACTTCGCCACCTTTTAGAAACAAACTACAAATTCCCGAAGCACACAGGTTCCCGTACTTACCATTGCAGGCCACAGCAAATGCAACAACCAATAAACAAACTTTCAGCATCATGATGGAAGATTCGAGGAAATCTATTACCGCTGGACAGATTCCACAGTTACTGTGCCGAGACTTACTTCAAAGTTTGGTTTAAATACTTATTCGGGCAATTCTTACCATGAGAAACGAGACAGCTGTAAACTCAGCAAATCATCCCACCACTGGGCATACTCTGTTTATCGCCAGATACAAATTGTGTACACACATCCTGTAATCAGCGTGTGTGTCACCAACTCAGACGACGATCAAACCTCTCTTTTTACTGGGCGTTTAGTTGTCGGGGGTCTTTTTTCACAAACGCACAAAAGCTACGTTATGGCAGGGGAAGGAAGGGGTTTGCACCCCCCCTCATAAAACATGGAAAAATGTCGATTAGCCATCATCCCTTTTCGCGTATAGGCTTTCGGGTAAATTCAGGACAGGGTGAAGTTAGAGCAAAGAGTGTTAGGTTTTGTACGCAGGTGAAAAGTCTCTCCATGTCGTCCTGTTGGTGTTTGTCTAGTCTAACTGAGTGTAAAGCAGTATCTATCATTGTTATCCCAGGGTTTTTACAAGCTCTGGGAGTCTCCATCATAAAAACTTTGCTTTTTCGCGGGAGAACTAAAGTTAAACATATGGACAACCCCTTGGTGTTTTCCCCACACAGGTAACAAATAGGCTAAGCGGAAATAGGTATATGCAAAGATGGGAACAGTTTCTACAAAAAGGGACCAGGGGTAACTGCCCCAGAATTTCAGAAGAGCGGGTGGCGGGAATAGAGAGGAAACCGTGATACACAGAAATGAACAGTTCTGTTCTGAAGTTATTAATTAAATAATCAGTTCAGAGAAGTAGAAATGGCAGTGGATGTACCTCCTTTCCCGACCTGCTATTGATATGTCTCTTTAACCCTAACCCTCCTCAATCCTTCACCTGTTGGAGGATTGAGGAGGGTTAGGGTTAAGGACTAACAAAATACATGTATGTATGATAACGTGTCATCTGTGGCACCAATGACTTCAGAAAACTGGAAAGGTCGTGAAGGATAAAAAGGCTTATAATATACACAAAATGTGATTGGACAATACTTTGATGATGTCACAGAGATGTGATGTAGAAACACGTTTTTTTTGTGCGCAAAGTAACATTTGTTACTTGAACTGAATCTGATCGGTTGTGTATTTCCTTCGTAATGGCCAGTCAAGAGTACACCTTTATGGTCGAGTCTTGTGACACAAGACTACATCGGCACAATGTTGCTATTATTTCTACCGGTAACGCATCCCTGCCTATGAACGCAACAGCTTTCAATCTGATCACAATTTTATGCTCATCTCGGGAGCAGAATCATAGACGTTGGGAGGGGAGGGCAAGCAACTTTTGCTTAAATTTTTCCTGAATAGGACAAGATTACACACTTCCAAATGTCATCCCTAAACATGTTAGGGAGCTGAAAGATCTCACAGTCAAGTCTCATGCATACATGCTTTCTCAGAACTATGAGTTTTAATCCCAGGGGCATGGGAGGGGGTGTGTACCCCCGACATTTTAGTGGGGGGGGGATGGGCTATTGAATCATTCCCCCCATTTTTCTAGGAGGAAAAAATTAAGGCAGATTGTGAAGAATTTTTCTGACAAAAGTTTCCCAACCAAAATGTATTCAACAACACTCAGAAAGGACGAACATTTTTAAAAAGCCATAAACATGTCAGTTTTGATGTAGGGTTCTGCAGCAGCGTAATACCAACTATAGATTAACATCTGTATCATGAACAATGCCCCCTAGTATCATATGGCGTCAGTAATCCCCTCTTTCAAATTTCCCCTGGCCAATCAAGTGATAACCCCACAGTCCCCAATCCCCCCAGTTCCCGGCACAAATTTACATGTACACCACTGCTCAGAACACACCCAGCGTGTTTGAAAAAGGAAGTTTGTTCCATCATAAATGCTTTGTTGGTTAACAATGTTGTCGAAAGAGTAAAGTTCCATCAGCTATCAGGAACTAAAGCGAGCAGGTGTGGAGAAATGGTAGCAACTTTATCATCAGAAAAAATTGATTACCTTTAAGGATGCCAAATAAGCAAGCCTGATAACGACACATTCTAGTCTGGATTGTTACCCCAAGAAGTCAGAATCACAAGACAGTGAACTCCTACACACAAAGAGTAAAGTTCCATCAGCTATCAGGAAGTGAAGCGAGCAGGTGTGGAGAAATGGTAGCAACTTTATCATCAGAAAAAATTGATAACCTTTAAGGATACCAAATAAGCAAGCCTGATAATGCCACATTCCAGTCTGGACTGTTACCCCAAGAAGTCAGAATCACAAGACAGTGAACTCCTACACACAAACAGAACTGGGAGACACCTTGTGAAAATGAGCATCAAAAAGTGACTTCTTCAGAGTGGAGTTCAACATCAGCTGGGGCCAATTTCATAGAGCTGCTTAAGCACAAAATTTGCTTACGCACAAAAACCTTGCTTAAAAACAAAGGTAACCAGCTCAAAATCTATGTGATTGTCCAGCTAACTAAAACACAGGTGAATACCCTTCCAAACCAATATACATCACATGGAGTTTTGGCTGGTAACCTGATTTATCAAGCATTAGCAAGGTTTTTTCACACTTAGGCAAATTTTGTGCTTAAGCAGCTCTATGAAATTGGCCCTAGATCCTAGCTAAGAGCCCTGCTGCTCATTGTGCATGCAAGTATGGGGACTCCAAATTTAAATACCTACTTCTGTAAACTCACAGACACAAGTGATCAAGGAACTGGAAAGAAGGGGAAACACTAATTCCCAATTAATGTTTTCTTTCTCCTATTAACCCTAACAGTCCCACATCCTCCAATTTCAATAAGGTTTTACAAATACCCTAGGGGGTTAAGGTTAATTTAGTGCATTAGATTTGCTTACATCCATGTGCTCTCACATTGAAAGTGCTTTGATTGCTTATCTGGTAATGACGGGTGCCAGGCAAAATCCTAAACCTTCAGGCGGTTTTCTTTTTCTAACCACCTCCCTGAATTCCCACAAATTCCTTTGTAAGTGCTGTGTATGAGTGATCCCAGTGACACAATCTCCATGCTCAAAACTGCCAGTTACCATCGAAGCCAAGTGCCAACGATTGCTGGGTGACAATCTGTGTTGCATCTATGGCCGTGTTCTCATCAGACCTTTTTGGGTTAATTTATTGCGACTTTCCTGAATGACAAAAATAAATCCATTCCAGAAAGGTGTTTAACTGAGGCCCCCATCAACTTACTGCGACCATGATGTATGTCTTTACTAAGCCGATTTCTGTGTGGCCACAAAAGAAACAGTCCAATGGGAACACGGCTAATGGCCCATGGGTAATCGGATGTTTAAAACTAAATGCTGATTTCTTAATGCCTGATGGCATAGCGAGACCAGCATCCATCTTGGATGATCCCCCGAGTGAAAATTCTGTGCCCCTTTGATTCTCAGTGTGTGAAAAAATAAAATTCTTGATGGGTCACTTCAGTAGAACTGTTTTACAAAACCATTTGCAACAAGGTTGCTGTCATTAACCAAATGACCTTGTTACAAAATGAACCTGTTATACAGTACCTAAGTGTGATGTCATTTAGAACTAGTAATTGCTGCACAAGAGAATGGTGAACGCACGTAGGTTGGTTTACATGCTACACATACTTGTGCATGGGATGTATTCACTTCAGTACAATATAAAAGGCATTGAAAATAAGAAAAACCAAAGTATTCAAAAGATCCTCGGCTTCAGATATTATTGTATTTTTGTGCGGAAAATTTTGCTCTGAAAATTGAGACTTGGCTGTGCTACACAGTACTGAGACCAGATATTAACACAAAGGAAGCATGTACTAAAACATGAGGTGATAACTTTTAACATCAACAAATGAATGACCACACTTTCAATTTGATAGTCTCATTAATTTTATTTACACTTGAGATGAACATAGCAGATTCAAAGTTTTAAAAAGAACTTACATACATAAAGACAAGATTTTTCTCTTGTAAATCAGTCACGATACTCGAGAGATACTTCTACTTTAAACCCAATGTAAGCTGCTGGTCACTGGCATTCATTTCTCTTAAAACCAATTGGCATTACCTGAAACACATTGTTTGAATTCACAGTAGTGAATTAGTGGACAACAAAACTCAACTCTGATAGACCGATCCATTAAGTCCTATCCTCTGTCGTTTGATTAATCACTGTGTTGATTTGCCTCTGACGTGCATGCACAAATGACTTGAGTCAATTACTCACCTTGAGTTTGATTCAAGTCACAACTTTTTGGCAACTTGACTCAAGTCGCTGCGAGCAAATGACATGAGTCCCTTATCAAAAGACTCAACTCTACCAAAAGCTATTGAGACTCAAGTCTCCCACGAAAAACAAAGTTCTTTGTGAAAAATACTTGTGTTTGGAATGACAAGTAATGGTGCCCATCTATTGTGTTCACATCATGTAGCAAATACAGTATCTGTTGTCTTTTTCTCTATATACGAACAGACACCGTTTAGCAGACTCCCATCTTGTGGTTCTGTAGTAACACATGCTACAGACTGGGTATGGAATTGTAACCAGTCTTTATTTTATTCATTGTATTGTTTTCGAATATTTGGGACTCAAATTGACTCAAGCTTGACTCAACGCTTTTATACTTAACGACTCGAACCCCATGCTGAATCCCCAGGTGCACAGCGGGCAAAGATAATGGGCATGGCATGAGAATAAACAAGAAAACAGCATAAGCTGGGTGAAGTCCGTCATTATAAAACCATTTTACACATGCCAATATCAATAGTAACTGTTTATTAGCAATGTTGAGGAAGATTACTCGGGAAACATACCAGGTGAAAAGATAATTGGTGGGGGTTGTTTGAAACACAGAAAGCTTCTGAATTCAATATGTGACGGAAAAGCTGCTCTTAAACCAGTTACGTAAATTTTCAGAGAGGCAATCCTCCCAAGATGAAAGACCTATACTTGTACTGTGGGCGTTTTCCCCCTTCAACCACAATGTATGTGTCTGTGAAACAGACTTTTGTAATGACAGGATACCAAGAAACAATCTTTTTCCCCGTAACTTTGTGGCTGCTCTCCTGTTGTCTTGCAGAACCATCCTAGCTTGAGCTTGAACGATTTCTCCTTCACAAACGAAGGACTTTCAGCACGGCGAAGTGATTAGAAACAATATTTTGTTGACACTTAACATATAAGAGCCTACTAGTAATCAAATCAACATTCATCTGTTGTGATAAATATATATAAACTCTTGGATTGTATTTCATACACATAAATTTAAACTTTTGTTAATGTGTTTTTCATGTACAAATAAATGTACACTAATATCTAGCAATTTTTAGCCTTTCAAATTCTTTTACAAATCCAAAGCTAAGTTTTCTTTGTTAATTCTTAACATCTGCAAATATTCAGTTTGCGCCCTGTGCTTTCTTTGGTGAAAAAAAAGCATTCAAAGTGAAAATGGTTGAGTTTTGTTCGAAAGCATAAGGGTAATTCTATAAATTTGGGGTCCGATTCTTTTCGTGCCCGTTACATCTGACATACCCCCGGTATGATTTGTAAATTCAGAACAAATTCCCTAATTTTCAAGAGTGACGAATTTATGCAAATAACCTGCAAAACAAATAAAAATAATTTGAAATCAATTTCAGTGAAATGTCGATGTTGAATTACACAGTTCAGGTGTGCCAGGGGGAGTGTTGTAGTCGAGACCACTTCAGACCTTCACAAGACCACACAAGACCAACAGCTCTCAGGAAACTCAGTCCTTTTTTTCCCTTCTGGTATTCTTCTTTCGATTTATAATACCTTATCTTTGCCTCATCTTCAATACAGTGTTCTTGCTTGGGGAAATACCTAGAGAACTATCCTTGATAGACTGCTTGTGATTAAGAAGAAATCCTTTAGGCTGATTAATGGTTCTAATTTAAGAGATCACTCCACCCCGTTATTCGCTAAATTTCATACCCTATCTGTTTACAATCTACATAAATATCACTTACGTGATTTTATGTATAATAATAAAAACATGTTGCCTCTGAATATCAAATCTCTTTTTGCTAGGAATACCGATATTGACAAATATAACACTTGATCATCAAACAAAGATAGAACATCTCTACTCCTCTCAACTGTTAGATACCAGGGACCCCTCCCTTTGGAACCAAATCAGGCCTTTTTGTCCACTAATGTCAATTGCAACATGTAAAAGGTATTATAAAAAACTTCTACTCAATGTGGCGGTTAGTGACGATGACAATTAGGGGCAAATATTTCTGAAATAATGTGAAAGTTGCAATTAGAGTAGTAAACTAAGGACTAGGATGGTTATTCTCTATTAATTTATTGAGCTTAGTGAAGAAGATCTTCACACTTAAGTACAATTAACCACTTCCCGCTGGGGATTCCGGATCCGGACACGTATGCTATATATGCATGGCCGGGGTCTCCGAACTCAGACAAAAGGAACAAGGCGTTGTAACAAAAGACCGTACTCGGAACAAAAGACCAGGCTGCTAGGAATTACAGACATTTTTTCCACTCTCAAAAGTGGAGATAATCAAGCCTTGTTTTGAAACAGTATACCACGGTTTGGGGCATTTAGAGCGAGCGGATTACTACCGGGGAGAAACGCACTCCACCTCCACAACGATGAGCCACACAGCACCGCATCACACAGCATCTGGCCCTTATTGAAAAGAAGTCAACAGCACACTGAGCCAGGTTCGTGAACAAAAGAAAGTTATATAACACCGCACAATCCGGGCTCTTTTTACAAGGCTGCTGGCCTGTCTGAAATAGTCAGGCGTCAATAGATTTTGTCTGTCAGGCTAGAGTGGACACCAGACGGTCCTTCAGGTGATTGTAAGTGTCCAGTAAATGAAGATAGGAATTTTTAAAGAATTTTGAAAACAGAAGAAAATGATAAATATCCTGGCCCAGCATCATCAACATTGATAACTGCCCCGGCAGGGAGTGGGTAATGTTTTATTACCCTAAGAGTTGTGTAAATTACAGGTATTTCCTTTCAGGGGGCAGACCCTGTACAAGCTTCTGCTTTCTGTCTGACCTCCCCAATGCTGTTATGAAATGTAGTTTTGCGGACTCCTATATTATTTAACTTATATTTGTGACCGGCTCTGGAAAAACATGTATTTTGTCACATTTTGTTTTAATTTGAGTTATATAAATATAATCAGATTAAACACACGGCTATCACTCTGATTTCAAGCATAAGCTATTCCACTGAACTGCAACAAATGCATTCCTTTGTCGCTGTTCACACTGTTACTTGTGACTGGTCTTGTGCAAGGTCTTGTGTCTGGTCTTAAACTGGTCTTATAGTGACTGGTCTTGTGATCCTCCTGAAGACGAACAGAGCATACTTTTCAAAACGTCAAGTGTTCACCATCGGTTCTGCTCAGAACCACACACTCATAGAAGAGATTCTTCCTTGTACCTGGAGCAACCGCAAGCCTTGCCTAATTTAGTACTTCCACCATGCAGAGCTTCAAGTCTTATCTGGTCTTGTGATGGGCTCGACTACAACACTGATCAGGGGAGGCAAAAATGTCACACTTTTGGACCCCAAATTCATAGAATGACCCATAAAGCAAAGGGCACAATTACAAGTAGAAACAACTCCCGTTCAAAACAACCTCCAAGTGGCTTCTTCTTGGTCACAGCAACTCCATTTTCAAAGGCTGATCATTTTGAGACTATATGAAAATCACTGCCTGTCACATTGCTGTACAACATATATAATGTTTGATCAAGCTCTGGTCTTTCATTTGCCTCCTTTTTTTACTGGTTTACAACATTCTGCACACATACGTGTGTTCAATGACACCACAGCATTTGATTGTTCCAGTGGGGCAGATTTCTTGAACTAGGAACTAGCATAAGACAGGTGCCATACAACTGGTGCCTGTACAGTAAGTGTGCGGTCTTCACATGGCCATATTTGTGAATGCACAAGCTGTGTGGTGTGTAAAATAACAAGATGCTATCCCATGGTACCAGTCCCTTGTGCAAACCCATGGTGCAAGCCCATAGTTGTTGCCCATGGTACTAGTCCTTCCATGGTACTTTCCCATGATACAAGCTCCCACTATTGGCCATGTCACTTGCCCCATTGTACTATGGTACAAGTCCATGGTACACTACTAGGAGCAGAACAAATCAAAATGAGGCTTATCTGTCCTCTTAATGTCGTATAATGGCATCATCAGAAGACAGCTGCGTGTCCACAGAATGCTGGGCTACTGCCAAACACCCTACCTGCAGTTTCCTCAGCGATGTGAAGAACCGCTTAACTACTTGCTTTTCCCTTTCTTGTTGGGCTGTGAAGGAAAACAACAAAGATACGTGAAACTCAGTGTACATCTTCTCACAGAGTGCAAGTACACTGAGGAGGGAAATTGGTTGAGAAAAAAGTGGAAGTTCAATTCCTAAATCAACCGCGACCATGCAAGAGTGTTATGGTCAAGCCCTGCTTATTAAAATCCCTGCAAATCACTAACAAAAACCCCTTGGATCTAAACCTGAAGCGCAAACTTGACTTGAGTCTTGGATCCTCTAAACACAGACTTATATTTGAACCTACGAGGGCAGGACTCCAGCCCAGGTCCATAAAACTACAGAAGTACTTTTTGGCTTATGGGTCCACCATGGAAAGAAACAAAGATGGAGATCAGCATCAATCCTCCCATAAAAGAGCCACCTCATGATAAGCTGAGTTCTTTATAACATACATGTAAGCTTATAATTTCCCTTAGGAAGACTTTTCAAGCCCCAAACCTGGTTTGAAAACTACTCTCAACTTTGTCCAGGCATAAAAACAGCAGTGTGCAAGATCTCTCCTTCAGACTGCTGCCCTCTTGTGAAGTTAGCAAGTTATTTGACTATTAAAACATTTGACATAGCGCCCTCTATACATGATCATGAGAGAAGAGAAAAAGCAATAAATATACGGGTACTTATACTGTAGAAAACTTCATTCTCAAGTACTGATACATACCAGACCCTGCCTTTTGCTTATCTGACAGAAATCAGATTTTTGGGACACAGGATTAAAAAAAAAACCCACTGGAGCCAACTCCTCATGCACAGGTTTCTTCATAGGGTTCATATGGAAAATCAGATGTAGGCCTACAAGTAACTTTGTCACTGTGATTGGTGACAGTATCATTGTTACTTGCCAAAAGCCACCCTGAAAAAGTAATTCACCTTGAAAAATCTCTTACATTTTCCAGTCAAATCTATGAAAACAACTCAACTCTTTGTATATTTCATATTCAAGGTGATGATCTTCAATTGCATGTTTAAAATGCTTGGATTTTTTTTTAAAATTTACGATTACCCAAAGGGTTTTATTTAATTATTGCTTTTGGGTACCTTATAATCCAATGTACATGTATATTCTTCTAGAAATTGACAGTCATTTTTGTTTGATCCCATTTTATTTCAACTGCTCTTCCTTGGTTAGAGATGTTACAATTACAGTTTACATAATGGGCTTCGGAAATTTTTCTTTGTCAATATTCTAATTATTATTTATTTTTTGGGGCATAGAATAAACTAAACAGAGGAACTGTATATACATGTAGCTTCATTATCTGGGAGAAAAATGATGTTGTGTCTGACATGTGGATGACAATATTATAAGAGTATCTATGAGATGAATTTTTCTAAGACACTAGCTGTGGAACAATGTATTTCTCTTCGAAGTACACGCATGAAAACTATGTGACATCCCTTTGGGTTAAGTGTATTAGGAAAAGTGAACTCCTTCACCATTTCAAGTTTTCCTGCTTTTCTGGACAGCTGAGGGTACCATCGCTGTGACATCCGGTCCTCCCAGGAAGACACTGGTCAGAATATTGGCTTTTCTGTTCCACTTGTTAACCCAACATCTACTCATTGCAAGCATTTCTGAGAAAAGGTTGTTCAATTGCCTATTGCCTCATACACATACAACAAATTCAACCCCCCCCAAAAACAAAAAACCCCAAAAAACAAAAACAAAATCAAATATTCCAGCAGTTTTTTCACAACCGATATCACATTGAAGGCTTTCTGCCTTCAATGACATGACAGTGCATGAAATTTGCAACACGTACATAAAAACAAAAATGGCACGTAAGTGCTTTTTAAAATAGCAAAACCATAAATGATTCAGAAAAAAAACCCCAGCATTACATTGACCCATTCAAAACAACTGTCTATAATACAGGAAATAACTGCAGCTGATGGTGACATGTGGTTCTTGTGTCACAGTCAAGTTAATCAGGCATATGGCCTTGGCATACAGGATTCTATGCACAAGATCCAACAAAATATCTTGGGGATCATTGGTTGGAATTCATTAAGAACAGAGTCATCCCAAATGAATTTCTAGAAATGAGAGGGTGCCCCACTGACAATACACGGAAATGATATGACATCTGGCTTTATATTTGTGGATTGACCGATGCTGAGTAGAATGGTTATTTAACCTTGCATATAACCACAAGTACATTTGTTTAAACTGTGGTTGTTTCATTTGCAAGTCTCTGGATAAGCATTTTGGTAATTTATCATTTTATTTTGAAGCTCGGGCCTTTAGTGCTGTTCAAGGTGAAGATGTCAGAACAATGAAACCGTGCCTCAGGTTTTTTTTTCAGCAGGTCCCCATGCTGAGTCGTGTGCCCTCAGAAGTTGATGTTAGAGATCTACTTGTTTGAAATCGGGTGGATTTTTTGAATGGGCAGGTGGCCATGCCACACAGACTGCCTGCTTCCCAGTCCCAAGGATTTGAAAAGTCGCACCAGAACAATGTGTTCAAACAGTGACAACAAGGGAAATAGTTACGTCGCTGGACTTCACAGCTTCTGACTGGGGAATGACACAGATATTGCACGGGTCCCCAGGCTGAGCACCGGACCCTCAGCTTCCACCACCAAAACGACTGAATTTGCATTATTTAAGTAGACCTTGTGCATTTACCATGCGACTTAAAAGAGGTCTGGTGAAAACAGATCAGGTCAACTGCACTAACTTTGTGGCACTCCTGTAACATTTCGAAATACAGCTAGATAGGCAAAGCTGCATTAGAATGTCACATGTATCGCTGATGTGTACCTCTGGAAGGTACCAACTAGTGGCTACAGCTTCTCCCTACAGACCTGAGCACTGCTCTCAGCCGCAGCCAGTCGACTGAGACACTAGCCTGCCTTCATCTGTCTAGAAGGTTTGAGTGTCATACCACCAACAGCCTAACCGACTTGTGATCATTACTTTAGCATGCTTGGGAGTCAGGGAGCCAACCGTAGGAAGAAATGAGTACTTGCCTACTTATGGGAATTTAATAAGGGGACTGGACAATGTGCACAGGGAGTTTGATACTTTTGTGACATGTTGGAAAGCTGACGATGAAAGAGTTCTTTTTGCTTCTAAATACATTCCCGGTTGAAAGAGGACTGCAGCAGAAATCGACATTGAAAAACCTGCCCCCCAAAATAACAATAAACAAACTGAAAATAAACAAAACAACCCCCCCTGAAAACTTTTCCCTACAGTGTTAGCTTTTCAAGGTTTCTTGGAATAAACATGTACATGTAAGATCTCCCGTCCTGGTTGGTTTGTCTATCAAGCACGCACAGTGTATCAGAACTATGCATTTACGCGAGACCAAAAGCAAACAAGAACATCTTACTTTGGCAGCTAGTTTGAGGGCATCGATCTGGTCCTTCTGCGCCGTCAGTTTTTCGTTCATGCTACACAGGTGCTCGCTCATCATGCTCAACTGGCTCTCGTAGCTCCGCGTCGTGGTCTGAAGCTCATCCTGGCAAAGCAAAACACAGAGGAGAAACTAAAACTGGATGGAGGAGGATTCAAAAGGAACGAGACACACTTTATTGGAGTCGGACTCCAACTTACGACAGGCAGATCGAGTCCATTGCAAGTGCTGTGGGCTACAGTGTGCATGTAGGTGTACAACAGAGGGCACTGGTGAAATTCTTGAACTCGTGCAAAAAGAAGGAAAAAATCTTTCAATTGAAGTGCGTACCTTGAGTTAATAGCCCTGTGGTTTGGTACGTATGCTGACCAGACAGTGAAGCTAGTGTCATCACTTATGCATAACTTGTTTGCTTTGATAGGCACTTTTGAAATCAACTCATCAATGTGTAATTGGAGCAATTAGTTTTTGCCAGTCTCTCTGGCACAATCTACTTTCCAGAACACCAGACCATTCAATTATTCAAAGAAGCCTTCTGAGCTGAAATCTGTATTTTCTTGAAACCTTCAGCCCTCTCTCAATTTTGTTAATACCAATTTTTTTGAATTAAGCAGTGTACGACCAAATTTAGAAGCACATTATGAATACTTTTCTCTTTCCAAACAATGACAAACAACATGATACGTGATATCAAACACAGCGAAATGTTGTTTCAAAAGAAAACAAAGAAAATGACTCCTGTAGGATAAATGGTACCGTCTTTTTGTGGGGGCTTTCTTTTAACACAAAGGCTCAGGGTTCTTAATTAAACTTTGCAATCCTTCACAAGAGCCACTGTCAGAGAGCTCTGACACAGCAGACAGAAAGGCTGTGAACATGTCTGCTAATGTATCGGTGACAGCCTTGTCAAGCATTCTGAAAGACTATTGAATTGGAAATGCAACAGCAAAAATGACTCCCCTGTAATCACTACATGGTACATTCCATGAACGCAGATGAGAAGGGTGATGGAGTCACTCTGTTCACTTTTGGTTCTTTAAAGGTCACATCTATATTTTTGATCTAACACCCCAGGAAGGAAGTGGCTCATTCAACCCTTGGCACAATGCGAACAAAGGCTTTGTAACTTCTTCAGCTTCACAAAAAAGAACACTGTGATGATGAGTGCTCCGAGGAGGAGAGGGAGGGGTCTTATCCCTTTCCCATGGGGGGAAAAATCAAAATTAAAAAAAGGGAAAACACTGGGGACAAAAGTGGAAGAAATGTTAAAAAAGAGATATAAAGATGAACAATCACCAATTTGCTTGAAAATAGTCCTCAAAATCAAACCCCTCCAGCAGTCAATTATCATTCTTTAGCTAGCTGATGACTATTCCCCTTGGAAATCTGTCCCATCGGAAAAAAAGTAGCTCCATCCCCCCAAAAAATCCAGGTGACGCCCATGATGTAGACTCTCACTTTACATCCAAATAGCTATGGGTATGGTAGCATCGCTTGCTGGCAATACGGAACAGACTCAGTTTTGCCCAGCGAGTTTCTTGAAAACAAGGATATTGTGCCAAAGTACACATGTGGAAAATATCAAACAAAAACAAAAAAAGTGATGTGAGGTATCGTTTCTGATGCTGATACTGATAGTGTGAGAAATGTGCATCTGTGTTTTGCCTGTTTCTTTTCCACACACACGCACACAAAAACAGTTGTTCAAACAAATGCATTTTTCATTACATGTAGATCCAATTTCAAACAGACTTTGAAATGCATGTCAAGATATTTATATTTCTAAAATGTCTCCCTGTGGAAGGAAATGGATTTTAAAGAAGTACAGCATTCTACCCAGAATCAATAATCTTTGAGAGTAATTGCCCGTTTTTGATATGCACACTTTATTAAAAAAAATTAGCATGACACAGGTGGAAATGTTGACAGGCTAACGTACAGTAAAGTGGCATGAAACAACTACATGCATTTGAAAAGCTGATCAATGCATTGATGGGAATGTCAGATACACAAACTTGCTTTGAACAACATCTACTAGTAACTCAAGCAATCAGAGTGGTTAATTTGTCCAATATGACAGATTTAAAGATTTCTTTTTTCTTTCTGGTATTTGCTAACAGGTGTGTGCATCTTTGAAGGTGGAACTGTTATTTCACAGCCAACACACAAATACCGAGTACACTTTGTCCTCGGTGTTTTTCTGCTATAATGCAGCTGAAAACAAAAAATTTCGGTGTTACTGTGAAACCATCGCGACAGATACTACTGCACTGCTCAGCACATGTGTAGCTGAAAATCCAGCATGACTCAACATCACAGTGCTTTCAATATACACGGAAACCCTCCCCTCCCACATAGCGCTCAAATCGGCCTGTCATCACCTCACCAGCGTTATTATTAAAAGCCAGCGCTCATTAACCTGAAACCATTGTCAGCCGGCTCCCTCCAAAGCTGTAGACAATATTACCATCCCAATACTTAAAAGAAAAAGAGAGAGAGAGGGAAAGCTGGGTCATGTTGTTACAGGGGCGCAGCCCCGGGCTTGCTCTGCTCTATATCCCACTGGAAGTTCATTCATCCCCTCACAGAAGACCAGTCCAAAAAAAAAAAAAAAAAAAGGCAGGGATAGATAGATCAGCATCTTTAACACTCAGATCCCCCCCCATGAACTCAAAACACAAGGCTCGGGCAGTCGGTGCATTCACCTCGGTTGGCCCCGGCAGAACAATACGGGATGAGGTAAATGTCTTGCTTTGGCACCGGCTCGGGTTCAGCGGCTGGGCCGGGCAATGATGACGACCCTCTCTGACCTGTCAGCAGAGGTGAGAAGCAGGTCATGTCCTCCCGTTCCTCTTGCTCCCCCCATTCTCCTCCCTCCAGTCGGATGGGGTAAACGGAGCATCACCCACCAGGCAAACCGGTAGTTGTTGAACTCATTTCCACGGGTGGTTTAGCTTCTTGACCCTCCCTGTGACTTAACCCTAGAGAAACACAGCCGCGTTTGGAGGACAGAGGTAAGCTATACAAGAGGGGGAAAAAAAAAGACAGACAGGCACAGGCCTGAGAGAGAGAGACAGAGAAACAGCAAAAATGGAAAGAAAAAAAAAAGCGAACTCAAACTAGGTCAGAGACACTCGTCTTTCGCTAGCCCAGAGGGATCACTGGGAAGGTGGGTTAGAAAGTCTATACCGGAGGAGCACTTGAGATTACCTGGCCTCATTTACCGGGTCGGATCGAGTTGCGGCAATGGCACTATTTTTTAGCCACTGACACCGTTTCACCCTTATCCTGGGCTGTGACACAGTTACCAAAAGAAGAAGGGGGGGGAGGGAATGTCGTCCTGAGACTACAGCCGGCCAGTGACCGCAGCAAGACAGGGGAAGAAAAAACACTTTACCCGGTGAGAACCTGCCAGGCACAGCCTCGGCGGAGATACAGGAGGACACCTTGAAGGAAGCGCGCACGTAGTTGTCAGGATGATGTGCGGTCCAGTCCTGATGTGCTGAATTCACTTTGAAGTCGGCGGGGATCACGTGGAAGGTCTGGAGAGTCGGAAGGACTCAAACATCCGCACTTACCGCGGCATAAAAACATTCAAGAAATGGGAGCAAGTATGTAGACACCGCCTGCCATGCTTGCACAGGTATCATGAGTGGTGTCCCGCAGTAAGCACTCGGGGTGCAGGATGCAAACAAAATCCGCCTACAGTCCCAATATAAATGGAAACTGCCATCCGGGCTCCTGTCTTTGTTTGTCCTTTCAATTTGTCACATAATTAATTTTTCCCATACCCAATACTACGAACCCTTGCTTAGAAAATATTTTTTAAAAAATGACCCTGAGAGAAACCTAATCGTTGCATCTTGTCTCATGCTCAGTGAAACTATATGTACAATGTAACAGTAAGCCGATTGTAAAGACAACAGTTAAAAACCACACATGAAAGTGTAGCTGCAGTGAACTTTTCTTAAACACAATTTGTCTGCAAATTTGCACTCTTCTTCAATGTATGAAAACTGTTACACTTCCAATTGGTGAAACACACTGAAAAGTGCACTTTTTGAAACACTTCGACTTCACTATGCTTCCATGGACAACTGAGGGCGCTTTTGCTGTGATGTCATCTAGGGAAGACATGATTCATTGCATAGGTTTTTCTATTGAAACTGTGAACCAAGAATTTACGTACTAAAAATTTGCGAAAGGGTTTGGTACTTGCTTACTTGCTTCTTGCAAAGCATGCAAACTACAATAAATCATCAAAGAAGATAATACTCAGTTTTAACATTCTACAAAAATGCACGACTTTTTTTCATTTGGGCTTTCTTCCTGGGATGACATCACAGTTTTGCTCATTAATATGGAAATACTCATTTGCATAAAACCCAAAATGGCAGTACAATACCCTTGGAAGTAGTGAAACGAAACTTGAAAGTAAGGTAAACTAAGACCAAGAGGAATACAAATTGGACCAAGTTAAAAAAAAATGCACTGACAATCTGCCTTGAGCAGTAGCACCTCCTCATTCCCCGGTTGAAAAGAGCCATGTTGGTAGGGGGTGTTCATTTTGTTGGTAGCCACATGACCACAACATGTGCATTTCATATTCTTTTGTGAACTAGCAAAGTGCAGTTCCCACCAAAGGAGCCTCCATTGCAAGGAAAATGGCGCCCTCTCTTGGTCCCGCTCGGGGTGGATACCCAACTTGCATTATATGTGCTGTCCTATAAAAATGGACAAGTCAAGTATTTTGTGTCCATTCAAAAAGTCCTTTGATGCAAATGAAATTGTATATTGTTTAACATACAGAATGCTGCACAGATGACGTGTTGAGGGTTTTGACCGACAAAATCACAGAATCTACGATCTCACTGACAAACCCCTCTCCATCACAAACAGCTACCGGGTAGCATCCCTCTGTTAAAAGGCACTGGGAGAAGCTTTATCATCCACTGCTGTTGCCCAAGACAAAGTCCCATCTGCTCAATGGCCAGGCAGTTTGTTGCCTCTCAATTTGCCTCTGGGATCACCTGCTCTGGTGGGGGGGGGAACAAAACTCCAAGTCATGGAGGAGGGATGGGACAGAGGCAAATAGTACACTGACA